CCCACGGTTTACCCGTCATCCTCGACGCCCAGCTTCACCTGTAAATTGGGCGTTCAGCCTGCCAATACCACTCACCTGTCTGACCACTTTCTCCACTTGGTGAATTTAACTGCTTGTACCTTCTTCAACTAACCAATCAAATAAAAGTGGTTCGACCCACATCACTGTTTTGAGAACTCGTGTTTTGAACGCTCAAGCTTGGCATTAGCATTTAACAGGACATAAGCACGAAGCGAGTCTGAACAAGGACGCTGGGCTCTGGCACAGTTGAGGCACAGCAACTTGTCCATCACAATGTTGCCACACTGTAAAGCATATCCTACTTTACTTGTGTGTTGTCGTTGTTGTTTTTCAGTGGGACCCTATTTTTGAAATAACAAACATGTTGCATGAAATGAGACTTGAAATTATCGTTTGAGGTCACGATCCCAGTGAGAAGTAAGGTTGTTTTCTAACAGTCTCCAATGCAGTTAGACTTCTTACTGCAACCCCAGGTTCGCCGCGGCTTTACTTTTCAGACCTGAAGGCCATGTTTCTCTTTTATATGCAGAAGTTACTGCTATATTCAACAGCGCACCACTATTATTCCAAAAGCCCAGTAATATTAAAACACTAGTGAACTGTCTCAGGTATGAACAGTCATGGTTGGAGATTAACTTTTGCTCAGTTTAACAGAAATTATTTTTATCAGGGGAACCCGGTGTGTTCGATGGGTACGACAGTGCTATTGGTCCTTTCGTCCAATTGGATGACAATAAGAGACGAAACGTGATTCTCATGAACGTGATTCTCATGAATATGTAATAGGAAGATCATTTGGGAATCTATGTGTCTTTAAATGAAAACACCAGAAGAAATTAACTGTGTATTAGCTAGAAACTAAAATTGAATCTGAAATCTTCAGTCTACAAAAATTAGGCATCAACCTTTGATAATTCACTTTTTTAAAGGTTGATGCACTGGGATCACAGCAGCTCAAACTCCCTCTTCCCTGGTGTTTTCATCAAGCTCCTCCGAGGATATCATAGCAGATATCAGGGCCAAATGTAATACGGAGTACAAGTGCTCAGCGTGTTCCTCAGTGTCCCATTGATGCTAGATGTGCCGGAAAACCTTTGCAAGCATCCAAATCAGGTGGCTAAGGCATCTGAACTGACACCTTGCAAATGCAAAGGAGCAGCAGATGAATCTCATTGCAGCTGCTCATACTGTATCTAATTCACACTGTCAGGTGCTACCCAGACCTCATGGCTTCAGTGGAAAGGATGGTGCTGGGGAGTTGGAGGGAGCTTGCATGCTGGGTGGGTGAAGCAGTATCTATCAAATAAAAACCTAACAAGCATACCGAACCTACAGAAAGCATCTGAGGGACTCTTGTATCAAGTTTCTAAACGTCTTTTTCCAAGAGGCATGATTTCCATGAGGCAAGTCTTTGTAAACGGACTAATTAGAGCTCCTCGCTATGTTTCGTGTCAGAGATGCAAAACAGGAACAGTGACGATTTGAAAAATATGCGTGTGTGCGTGTCACCAGGACAGTCTGCTGAATATCAAGAGCCATCACAGACAGCAGCGCAGACTGACAGGTATTGTGTAAATCAACAAACAGAGGGGCTTGTTTGTATCTCGAATGACAGCAAACAACAATGCTGCGCTGCTGAAGAACAAAACACCTCTACTTTCTACTGTCTCTCGTCTCGAGCGCCTGATAAGAGCCGAGAGCGTTACGGAGACATGAAGGCGTTGTGTGGGCCGCTGGAGAGTGTGGGATAAAAGCATTAAGGGTCCGTACACGTTGCAAGAAAAAGAAAAAGTCAGGAGATGAGCACATGCTGCTGGTAAACCGAGACTGTTTCATTTTCTACGTCGGGTCACATGGTAGAGAAATGAAACTGAGATTGCAAACACGTTATAATTAAAGCTCCTTTTACAGTCGTGGTATAAAATAGAGATTTCTAAATGTTTAAGTTTTAACAATGTGGCTATAAATTAAAAGGTAACAGTCAAATAGTGGGGGGAGTGGAGGGGGGGGGGAGCATTCACACATTCACACAAGTGCTTTTTCTTTCTATTCCTAAACAGTTTTAGTCTAACGTTCACAGACTCCCGCTCCAATGGATGTATTTCTTCTTTTTCTTCTTCCTCCCTGAGCCTGGTTCCACTGGAGGCTTTTTCCTGTTAAAAGGGAGTTTTTCCTTCCCACTATTGCCAAGCGCTTGCTCAAAGCATGTCATCTCATTACGGTCTGTACCTTGCAATATAAAGAGCCTTGGGGTGACTTTACATCAGCTCATATTCAGTTTTTTGTATAAGAACTCTATATGTACAGTAAAAGTACAAATGATAGCAGATGGGTTCGCTCATCAGATTTTACTTCAGCTCTCCTATACTTCTCTTAGTAACAAATCCTGAAAGTAAGTCCAGGTGACTCAGCCTCCACATTTTTATCAAAGATGACTAATCGGTGTCCTCCTCCACATTATACCTTTCCTCATCCTGTCTTCACTTCTGACACTGCAGCGACTGCCTCGCTGGTCTCAAACAGCCCCGAGCATCGCTGCAGGGGGACAGAGAGGAAAACAAATGCTTTGGATCAGAGGTGATTTACCAGCGAGGCAGTTTGCCCTTCACAGTCTGCTTATACCTGCGTGACTTCTTCCGTGCGCAGATGAAATGCTCATTTCTACAGAAGCCATGAATGAAAGGGTGAACGTATATTATCAGTGTGGTGATGACACGGAAACAGAGCTGAACCCGACAGTTAAACCACAACAATGAACGATGTGGCTTATGTGTCAATAAAACAGATGGGTTGTTTGTTTTTTTTAACAAAATCCATATGTTATTTTAAGAGGATTTGTTAAACTTCAAGGATAATAATCATTCCAGACAACAGGTGCACTGGAGAGGCAACGACAAGACAACCTCCAAAGAGGTAAGAATTTTTGCAGGTGATGGCCACAGATCACTTTTTCATGTCCCAGTCACTGCTGTTGGAATGAGAAAACATCTGGGATTGGTCCCGACCAATCTCCTTCTGGTCCCAGATCAGGGGACCAGTGAGCTCCTGGACAGTCTGTGGCGCCATTTGGTTGCATCAGATGGACCTATACTATACATAATGTCCCACGGCCCTTTGAGCAGTATATTAATGTGCGTTATGCTTTATGTTTACGTCTTTTTCTTACCCGGTGGCAAAGAAATGTCAGGGCAATTTTATTTTATTTTAAAAAAGAAGTCATAATCATTTGATAACCTTTTGGTGGTGATGGTAGGGCTGTAGTGTGTACCGAGGATACAAACTCATGTTTCATTCATGCTGCTCGAAACCAGTCCTGTTAACCTCTTTATTCCACTAAAATCAAGCAATTTCATATACAGAAAATTCACTTAATGTTGTATTATTACAGCCCTCAAAATAATAGATCCTCCTATGAAACTGTACTGCACTAATGGACTAAAGTAACCAAGATGGATATCAGGACAGCTGTTGTGCAGAAATACCTTTATTCCCTGTTATCTTAGAGGGGAGGGGGGAAGGGGGGCTTAAATTGTATTACTATGATTTCCTCTCACTGCTTTCAGAAGTGGCTGCAGCATAATGAGAAAAAAAAGAAAACACAGTTGATGCAATTTCTGGCTCTGGCTGTGAGAACGGTTAAAATGCAATCAGGTGAATCAGTGATGGGGAACAACAGGAGCCTGAGGCAACTGCAGGTCAAATCCCAGACCTCTCACCATCTCCTCACTCTAGTTACTCACTGCAAGCTACAATCAGACAGCAGCTTCACAGGAAACACAGAAAATTCTTTTTTTTTTGGTCACAAGTAAACTTCAGACTTTGCAGGTGTTTTATTTGATTGGACGCAGCATGAAGGAACTAAAATATTGATAAAAAATTGATAAATTGATAAAATAAATTAAAAAGCAAGTTGTCTGCACTTCATGCAGATTGTTACAGTAAAATATGCGCCACGCTTCTTTTGTGATAAACAAAACATTCAGACTACCTGTGGAACTTAATTTAGATGAGACTGTCATATTACTGTTTTTGTGGTGCTTTTAATTAAAGTGCCTGTAATTCCCTTTTAAAATGTGTCGGTGTATGTTTTTAATGTTGGATCCCAGGAAGACTGGCTTTTGCAATTTGCTAAACTTAATTACACACAGAACCCCTGCAGTTAAAAGAGGATGTTAATTCAAAGAGAGCATGAAAAGGACTAAGCTGCACTTTGTGCCCTGCTTGAACTAATACTATGTTTGATTTTCCAAAAACGTAGAGGGAAATGGTACAACCTACTGCCGCCGCAGTAGGTGGTCGCGTACGTGTCATCGCTTTAAAAGTGACAAACTTCCTTTGGTATCTGCCCTCAAACTGTTAAAAGTCACGCTGATTTATTCGAGCTAAAGGGGGATGTCTGGTCAGATGCTTACGGTAGTTATATATGTACCTATAGCTGTTGAACTTGTGAGGGACTGCCTGTTTCTGAAACAACATTACACTTAGAGGCCACTTCCTTAAGTACGCCTTGCTAATTTAGGTGACATCACACAGTTGCAACATATTTCCACCTGGTCTGAAGCAACTCCGTCACATCCCAAAGGTGGGCAGGAGGGAGGGGCTTTACTTAGGACTAGCTGGGAGAACGGGAAAGAAAAGAAACAGCTAGACTAGACCAATGATGTCAGCATCGAGTTTTAAAGTGTGGGGAAGTGAGTTAAAGAATAGACTAGCAGCCAAACACCCAGAAAAGCACAGGTCCATGATTACCCATCTTTACCGAAATTACACACAAGCTTCATATCTAAATGCACTGATTAGACATCTTTCACATGCAGGTGAACAGGTGTACCTAATAAAGTGGCATGAGTGTATGTGTGCTGACTAGAGTTCATTGTACTGTATGCTGTATGCATCAGTGTGGAAAATGATAACTGATAAATGCAAGTGAGGATATTTCAATATCTACGATACACAAATAAACTGACAGCACCACAAAATCGACACAGCATTTATTTATTTATTTATTTCAGAAACCTTAATACTGTGATCACTGCAAATGTCTTATTCATACCTTTACATTTTACAAAGACAATGGATCTGGGATGTAAACAGTATTTTCAATTGTTTAAAACGTATGGTCCTCTTAAAATAGTGTGCTTTGTTTCCAGTCAGAGCGGATCACCTCACCGTTTCCTCTGTTCTTCCAGCAGGAGCAAACAAAACAGATCAAGACTCAGCAGTGCAGGGCTGCGTCTCCGAGCTCTGGGAAACCTTCCTCCCCTGCTTCAATCACTGAAACCCAGCATCCCTACAGTTTACACAACGTACGACCTCCTCTCGTCTGATCAGTGATGCTTGAGGAATAAAGTTATAAAGCACCTGTTTGTCAGGAGCTGCACTGGCAGGGAAAACTACAGAGCAACATTCTAGACAAGGTTGCACAGGAATCCATCAATTCACCCTTTTTATATCCAAAACCTGTAAACACTATGCTTTTTTTCTTTAATGTAAAACACATTGTTGTGCAAAGAATCTCAAAAATAAGATATTGCAAAAAAAAAAAGAAAAAGAAAAGAAAAAGAACATCTGAACATTCAAATTTGTGATATCCTTCAGTGAAGCAGCAAAAACAACGCTGAGGAGAGAAAACCCACGTTCACTGCAAGGTAACAAAGACGAGTGAAACCCCAGACCGGCTTACGTTTGTTTCTGACTTAGTATAAACTGAATCTAACATCCAAGTTGATGCACACTTTTAAAGATGCAAGCAAAACATCTGCACTGCACGTTCTGTCATTTGGCCATACTTCATTTAAAATAAAAAAAAAAAAAAAAAATTAACCTTGACCACTTTCCTTTTACAATAAAACATAAACATTGCTTTTAGTTAATTTAATCATTTTAATCATTGATATAGTTTTGGACAGAAACCCAGTGTACATGGTATATAATTTACAGTCAACACTTTACGGATAGGGGCCCATTTGCGCCAAGAGGACTCACCTTTTTTCATTAATATTTCAAGGATTTCACATTAGTGGATGACTCGTTTTCACAACGGGCCAGCTTGAAAAACTTAAATTTTAAAAAAAGGGGAAAAAAGACCAAATCTGGTGTTGACCATCTACTGGTGTAACTGTCGTCCACGCAGACTGACGGGAGATTCCTAAAACAGAACCAAAACTTTTGCTAACAGTCCACTCGTGTCTCTGCGAAACTGCAGAGCTTAATAAGCATGTCGGTTATAGTAAACATCATATTTCTTTAGGCTCGTTTATATTCTCTTTACATTCAGACTGGGAGATCATTTGTGCTGTGCGCTGCAGGGCTTCTAATTGCATCAATGTGAGATGCAAATTTACTTGGGGCGAGTCAAAAACTTTAGCGCGGGGGGAATTAAGGCTTTCGCCAAGTTTAAATGGACACGCTTAGGCTTCGACCTAAACGCCCCTGTTGTCGTGTCAAACACCCAGCTGTGACTCTTGCTTGTGTTGTAAGCAGCTTTGTGATGTGGGGGAAGAAAAAAAAAAAACCTGTCTTCCGGCACACTTGTATTACAGGGGCCAGTGGCTCAAGTAATTGAATGCAAAGGCACACACGCAGACAGACTTCCACAAATACTCATCACTGTGTCGGGAGGCTGGCCTGACTGACTGAAGAGGAGAAATAAGCATTTGAGCAAATGAAAGGATGAAGCCTCTCAGCCGAGTCGACGACTGTGAGTGTGAACTCAAATTAAAATCGTATCCGGTGAGTGCGTGCGTGTTACTGTACCAGGTGTGCTTATCTTTCAGGATGAAGGAGAAGAGCCTTTCCCTTTTATCTGTTCCCCAGGTGCTGTTTCAAAGGCATGTCCCTGCTCTGCCTCGGAGTAAATGACCAAGATAAGTGACTGTAGGCACGGCTGGATTGACTGATGTACATTCACACGACAACAACACACACACACACACACACACACACACACACACACACACGGGTACAGCTGATACTGTAGCCCCCTCCTAACAGATAGCCACATATGCAATTTCTGTTGATTCCTCACATTCCTGACATAAACTGAACCTGAGGAAAACTATAAATGCTCTGCAGACACAACATCCACACACACTCACACACAGACACACACACCTTAGGTCTGCTCCTTTTTTTTTATCAAAAATACACCTGTGATTGTCTCTCAAGGTTGGCTTCTGATTATTCCTCCTGTCCTGTTTGTGTGGCCTCCACGGTTTGATGTCTGACTGATTGCGGAAGAGGCGTTAGAAAAATACAGAGTGACTGGCAGCACATTTACAAATCATGACATTTCCACTGGTCACCACTAGAGGGCACTGTAAGCAACACGACAGCAGGCTTGGGCACCACAAAATACAACAGAATACAGAATAAAAACCATACAAGTCAGGCTTTAGCCAGAATTAAGAAAGAAAGCCATTTAAATAATATAGCTAGTGACCGTTTGTCTTGAGGAACTAAACACTGATGTCAGTTGTACTATACGAATAGAACAACGTATTTATTGGATTATAATACAAGGAAATAAATAAACCTTGGGGAGGAAAAAACAACACTTTTCCATCTCATTAATGTCTCTGTCACTTTTAATCAGCAGCTGTCTCTGCAGACAGTGGGATGATGTTTAGAGTTCTCACTTTCCTTTTCCCCCCCTCACAGTTCAGTGGGAAAGGATAAAGGCTCTTGTGCAGCACAAATCGGCAGCCTTGTAAGCTCCAAATAATCTTTTCCCACTTTAAGCGTCTCTTAAGAGAGTCCTGACTTCTTCCTATTGCTTTTAAGACACATATAATTAGGAGGGACCAAAGCACTACGGATCAGTCCTGGGTTTTTTTGTATTTTTTTGGTTTTTTGTTGTTTTTTTTTAAGTGGCATCGCTTGCCGATGGCTTTTAAATATCCCCCTCTGTCAGGATGTTGTAATCCAGATTTGACTGACACGAAAGAGAGAAAGTGAGATCGAGAGAGAGAAAGAAAAAGAGAAACTGTACAAATCCCTCCTGTGCTGAAGCAGAGCGACCTGTTTCCGTGTGGGTGGCTGCGGTCGAACAGCCAGAGCGACCGTCCGGTGGTTTGAGCCTTCGAGGGGAGGGCACGCAGGTGTGAACGAAGTGAAAACCTCTCACGTGTCCTCTGCTCTTGTGGTTTCAGATGATCGTTTCTGTATGTGTGTTTGCATGCGGTCGTTTGTGTTCCAGTAGCTGGACCGGCAGATTGATGGCGTACCCGTCTTGACTTTGCGGGACCATTTTTAAGAGACTTTCATTCAGATCACCTTGGTGTCTCTGTAACGCCACCCCACCCATCCTGTGGCAGCTGAGATTTGGCATAAAGGACTCGAGTCCCCTTTTAGAGCAGCTGGGCATCATTTAAAAAGACTTGCTGGGAAAAAATATTAAAAAAAACAAAAAAAAAAACAAGAATAAATGTCCTAAAAAGAGAAGCACATCCACGTGGAACAAAATCTACAGATAGGAGGCGGAGCTTCTTTGCGTGCACCGCTGGAACAACCGCAAGAGGCAAAGTCGACTTCTTTAGAAGGTGGAGGGTGTGAAGTGCTTTCTCCTTGTCGGCAATTTAAGAAAAGAGATTTTGTCACACGAGAGAAAGACAAATTCAACAGCTCTCATAGGTGAGAATGACACCCATTTTCTTGAGTGTCATCTTCCTAAGTTTAACAGAGGGTCTGCGAGGAGAGACCGAGACTGGTCGACGGCATTACCCACTGATGGCTGAAGCCAATGGAAGATGGTTGACGTATTCAGCATCAGGATAATTCAAGTCCAACAACAACAATCTCCTGTTTCCTCGTGAGTGTCGATCCTCCTCTGCCTCTTTATCCAGAGTGTGTGTGCGTGTGTGTGCGCTCATGTTTGCATTTGTGTGCATGTGTGTAGGTTAAAATGTTGAGGTGGGAGTCAGTTCATGTCGATGGTGTTGAAGACCCACTCTGTGAACTTCTTGAGCTTGGCAGCAGAGGTCTGGGACTCCTCCTGCAGTCTCTGGTTGTCCTCCCAGAGTCTCTTGATCTGAGCCTGAAGCCTCACCTTTTCTTCCCGCTCCTGCGGAAGGTGGAGAAAGGTGGGGTTAAATTACTCGTTTTCATTAACCCATTATTAAGCAATTAACAGTGGACAAAGTTTTTCTTAAGCCATCAATTCAATCTCTGCTGTGTTTATGTAAACTAAATCTCGGGCCTGCAGACAGCGAGTCGCAGCTAGATAGAAGTTTGTGATTTTGTAAACAGATATTATCAGCTGACATTTTAAACCCGAAGACAGCACAACGAAATAAACTCCGAGTTGGGTGCATGAACATAAATATTGAGTCTCAGTCTAGGAAGGTAAAGAACACACTGAAGGAAACAATAAAACTGGAGCGAGCTGCTGTCAGTCAGCTGCAGTCGATTGCTGCTGGGGTGAGAGAGGTACGTATTAGCTTTCTTGGTGTCAAACTGATTTCCTGTCATGTTAAAAGTAAGAAATGTAGAAAAGCTTTGCAACATTTCACAAGACAGCTGAAAGTTTCCCAAGAATTGCGTTACACGTGAATCTCAAACCGCAGCAGTTTTCTGAGTGAAAACTTTTCCCCGTTACAAAAGGTCAGGCTCAAAGAGGGGATGGTGAGGGAGCTATAAGGTGATTCAACCACCTGACTTGTGGTTTCTAAAGCCTGAGTGGACTGTACCACTGGAGAAGGGGGTGATTAGTGATAGTCCATCCTTTTTCTTCACTGCTTTTCCAATTAAGCATGGTGGGAGGCTGGAGCGAGCTCTCATAGGGCAAAAGGTATCCTACCTTTTATCCTACCTATCCTAACAGGACTATCAGAGTTTGTTGCTTTTTGCTGTGATGTTTAAGTTAATATACTATATTCCATAAAGTCGAAAGTTACAGGACTATGATTTATTCATATCATCAATAACCTTACGGCTAATTTTAGGGGAAAAGCCATATTTTCAGCCTATGGGCAGAGGTGTCTTGTATTCTGCTGCTTCTTTGCTATTTGCTTACACTCTGGCGTTTGATGTATTTCACCATACTCGTAACTCTCAGCCGCTTCAACCTCACTACCAAACACGAAGCATTAAAAGTACAAATCATGACTTTATGGTTAGTATTTGGTGTGAATAAAGTTCTGACCTGTGTGGTGTGCAAAAACAGCAGTAACTGAAATATGGACATGAACTATGAAACACTGGACGAGTGAACAGGAAACATGGGAAACTTTTTCCAGGTGATTTAAACGTTATCATTTTAGTGGCCGCAGTGAAACTTGAGTCAGCAGTTAGCAACAACAATAAGCAGCAGAGTGGACCCAAGAGAACAATAGAAACGCTCAACTGCTGACTTTGTATATTCTTTTGAAAACAAAATATTTATTTACACCACCCGCTCCACGTTCCACTGTATACAAAGGCAACTGAAGTCTGTATCTTTCATTCACACTTCAAAAGAAGAGGGGAACCAAAAATGATTCTTTTAGCGCAGCACCGAGCAAAAGTTTGCACAGGACTCAATGCAGTCATGTGAAAAAACGAGTTTATCCTTACAGTAAGAGGATAATGTGTCACCAGGTGCTGCTAAATCTGATTGGCTGATCATCAGTTTGAGCATCTCTATAAATTCTTCTAGAAAAGCAAATTTTTGACAGTTTGCTGGGTTGGAGCGTTCAAACATTTCACTGATAAGACATCAGCAATGATCTTAGAGAAGCACTTCTTACTGCCCATCAATGCCATTTGCAAACAATTTGAAGACCGTCACTCGACAGTGAGAAAGATTATGCACAAATGCAAACATTCAAAACAGCTGCCAATCTTCCCAGAACTGAACGTCCCAGCAAATTCACCTCAAGGTCAGACCGAGTAACGCTCAGAGAAAAACCCTGGAGCTACAGGCCTCAATTAGCATGTTAAATGATAAAGTTCATGACAGCACAATTAGAAGAAGACTCAACATCTATGGCTGTTTGGAAGGGTTCCCAAATGAAAGCCTTCACTCCTGGAACAATGTCCTTTAGACAGATTAGAATAAAATGGGACATGTTGGGTAGGGCTGTTATAACGATATATATCGGATGACAATATAAAAACGTCTATCGTTTCATTTTACGCTACCATTTGTTTCGTGGTGTCGCAAAATAATCTGTTTACAGCAATATTTTTTCACCGTTTTGATGGTCACTGTAGTGGCTATTTCTTAAAGTTCTCTCTTTCTCTTATATTTAATATAACCACACTACGGACGGACAAGCGCCTGTTTTTATGCGTTGTCGTTAGCAACAATGACGGTAACACCAAATGTTACATTTTTGTGATTTATATCGTTATCGGACGATAGAATTTTTATATCGGGATATGAGATTTTGGTCATATCGCACAGCCCTAATGTTGGGCCGCCTTCTTTCTTTCTTTTTTTTTTTTTCCTGTTCTCGCAGGACTGTATATATTTATTCAAACTGTGTGTCATGTTTTAGGTTCCGTCTCACCTTCTTCAGGTCCTCCTGAAGCATCTTCACCATGGCCTCCAGCTTAGTCACTTTCCTCTCCAGCCCTATATGTCCCTCACTGCGGCAAGAAAAGAAAGTCAACCTGAGTAAACACTGCATACATCTTTGAAGTGGAATTTTATTAGCAACAAACTCTTGTTTACCCTGTATATTCCAGTTCTACTGGATACTGAATTCAGTTAATAATCTTTATATGTACACACACCATCTGCTTCTTGTATTATCTGGTTAGACGTGAAACTTCTTTTTGTTGCACTGATAGTTAATCAATTTCATTTTAAAAAGTCTAATTCCCAAACCAAACCAACTTAGTATATGCAACATTACAGGTAGGCAGTACTCCGTTAACCTGCTCAGCACCTCTGGATCTTGTAATTTCTCATTCTGTGCAGCTGGATGGCTTTAGCTCATTTGCTTTGTGAACTTGTTTTTCATGAAGGAAAATAGGACAGTAATTTTATCTTTTGTCTGCAGTCCTGAGGTGATGTGTGTTCGCTGCACATATCTTCCATGTGAACATTTAACACAGACTACAGCGTGTGTGTTGTGTGTACCTAGACGAGGGCCGTGACAGTGGAACAGGCTTCAGCTCTATGTGAGACTGCTGTGGACTGGAGGTGCCGCTGCTCCGGTGGTTTGAGTCACCAAAAACAAAACTTCTCTGGACTAAAAGAAGACAGAAACGTGAGGGCAAAGAATACCAAGCGTTTGCTTTAACTACTAGTAAAAGCAGGAGAACTATACCATAATGTGTGTTTCGCTCATTCTCAAAGGTATTGGCCACGTCCACCAGGTGTGTCCATTCGAGGGGACTGTCTCTGTCTGAAGAGGGGAGGGGCATGAGCTCCTGAGGGAGAGGTCCACGATGACGCTCCACCAAATCCACCAATGATGTGTCAGATGCCGAAAGGTCACCTGTTAAATTAAGTTTTGAAAAGTGATTTTTCCACACTTTTGAGCATTTTTATTGAAAAGAGGGGACAGCAGGAAAAAAATAAAATAATTTAGGTTTAGCCTTTGCTGTCATTTTCACATAATATTAAGAGATATGGTAACCAAATATGTCCTTGGCAAATATAAGCACCTCTTAGTTCTGCAGAAAACATAATGAGCTGCGTTGCATTTATTCAAAGCACCCTTATTTACCTGCTAATTATTTTCTAATGCATTTGGTTATTTCCCATTGAATAACAGTAACAACTATCAGCAACAAATTATGTCTTCAGTATATAAAGCGAGCTGCCAGCCTTCTACTCAAGCTTACCATGCAGTTTGACTCCCAGCTTATAGGAAGGCCGTCTAAGGGGCACGCCACGAGTGGTGGGCGAACGTGGAAGGGTGGAGCAGCTGAAGAGAACGTCAGCGGCGAGAGCCGGTTCAGGAATGGTGTCGCTCAGGGAGGGAAGGCGCTGGCCACGATAAATGCTCTCATCTGATAGAGTGCGATGGAGCGAGCGACGGCGGCTGAGAGGCTGCTCTGGCGGCGACTTCTGGCTATGCTGCGCAGGGTGAAAGTGAGCAGGTGTTACTTTAATGATCACATTTACTACTGCACAGAGTCTGCTCTGACACCTGTGTGAGACCAGGGGCTGCAGTGCTGCTCTACATCAGCTACAGCCTCTCTCCTGTTTGATCTGCTGCCAAAAAACATTCGCCACACATCAAATACATTTTTTCCCCCAACGATGTGCAGGTGAATGACCTATTCTAGCTACGAGCAGACGAGCATTAACACCCGATTTTTATGTTTGATATTTGACCTTTGCTTTTACAATTGTACCACTGCCTGCGAAAAGCTGAAGTAGCTGCGAAGGTGGACGGAACAAGCAAAGACTGCAAATTGAGCTTTCCAAGTGAATTCACTCCACTCACCTGACAAATTCTCTGAAAGCTGTGCAAACTTTTATAGTAGCTGCTTTTGGTCTTAATGGCAGACGTACCTTTTCTTTATGTTTTCGTGGTGGCGGGGGACTGTCTGGAGCACTGTGCCTCTTCACATCTTCCTCCATTGTAGACTTTGCATGAGTCTGCGGCGAGTGCATGTCTCTCAGAGATGGCCTGGCTGCCGGGGTTGGAACCACGTCTACTCCACTTTCTCCTGGAGATTTCCTAAGACACAAACACACACGCGCACACACACACAGTCAGTAAAAAAGCGGTTGTGAGAAAATTATGTTGCACTGATAATGTTTTATATAATGACACAGAAAATAAAGATATGTAGCCTTTCAATGGGAAAAAAAAAAAAATCACATTCAGGGTCTGCATTATAGCATTTAATGCAATACTCTCTTGAGCCACAAGGGGGTAATCAAGTAGCACACATGATATTACATGAAACCCATTAATGTAAAAATTGTAGTACTAGTTGTAGTAGGATTAAAAGCAGTCTGCCAAATGAAAGCACTGCTATAAATCAGAGGAAAGTTCAATTTGAAACGATGAGTATAAATGCAGTAATGCAGGGGGAAAAAAGACAGCCACAGTGGCAACGTTAGGCATCATTCTTTAGACACTAATGTGGTTGGGAATAAAGTGAGTTTTAATGCACTGTACTATGCCCAATGAACCATCTGAAGGATTTGCCAAATTTAGAAAAATCTGACCGGAACATCTTTCACCTGTTAATTTGTTCTGTTTCTTCATTATTAACCAACAGCCTGAAAAAAAAAAATCACCAGGATCAATAACTTCTTGTGAAAGTTAACACTGAGCTGGCACAAAAAAAATCCAACTCTCTTTTACAGAGGCATTTAAAGCTCAAAAACCTCTAGAGGAATTATTGATAACATATAACTTTAATAATTTATGTAACTTTTCACACCTCAAATACACAGTTTGAATAACAATTCAAGACTTTTGTTTTCTACTTTCTGTATAGTCCTTTCATCCTTACTTGCGCGTGTCTCCAAAGTCGACAGAATTGATGGTGGAGCCGGGCTTCCTCCAACCAATCAGGTACTTGGACTGAGCTCCTTGGCGCGGGTAGAAGCTCTTGGGCCCAGGGGACACTGAGGACTGAGATGAAGGGGAGGTTGCCGAAGAGGACGACTCCTCTCTGGGAGAGCTGTGGCCCGAGTGGCGAGCACTGATGGACAGAGGAAACAAACAGGATGTGGAAATAGTAATGAAACATATGTACACAAGTTGCATCATAATCCTCACTAAAAAAACAACAACAACAAAAATACATCTTAAAGCAAAGACAGGCTTTTTCTTTTAAACCCAGATCTGTGCATTATTTAGGCAAGAATCTTAAATGTTTTTACGTTTTAAGAAGTCAAGCTTGGTCTTAGGTCAAGCAGTAATACAAAATTCAGCAGTGAGACATCTTTTATCAAGGAATTTTGAGGTAGGGCATATATTATTCAGTTATAAATGGAAAACTATATGAAAGTATCACCTGCTGTCAAGCCAATCTTGGCAAGCTCATTCTGCCACCCCTTTTCTTTTGCCCTCCATCACTGTGACAGAATACAAATGTAGTTTTAATGCTGGACACATGACACCGAGGTCATGAGGTGTAACTATCATTACTGGTGATTTAAGACTCTTCAAATGAGAAGAGCAGGTCACTGGAGTTCCTTCAGATCTTTGGCATGTGTAGAGGGAGTTAAAATTACTCTTTAAGGTTGGCTTCACGTTTAAAAACGTGTCTGTGGATGCAGTTTGCAGTATAAAAGTACTTGAGAGTAGGGCTGGGCCATATTATACCGTTCACGGTAATACCGGTATAATGTTAGGCAACGATAGGAAAATGAAATATCGCGATAGAATGGGAGTAAAACGCGCATGCGCAGTGCCTTTGTTCCCTTTCAGTCGATTCACTCGGTACAACACATAAGTATGGGATATCACGCCCTCGCGTGTCCTGGCTGAAGAAACCTTTATTCACGCCTTTACGGCAGATGACGTGTGATGACACGCGCAAGGCCCCGCCCGCACATATAGCCGCTGCCATCACCGTCATCCCTCAGTTCTTACGCTCTTCACCTCGCTGAGAACACCTCTGCTGAGTTGGGCTAGCTAGCTACTGCTAGTTAGCTCCGTTGTCTGCCAACTTGAACCTAGCTTAACTGCCCCTGTTGGTGTTAGCCTCCACCGCCCAGCTGGTGCGTAGGCTGCCCGCGGAGCGCTATTTTCAAGTTTTTCTTGTGCAGCGTTTCGCTTTGCGTTTTGGGAATGGACTCCAAACCGAAGCGAGCAAAGCAGAAATCTTCTGTTCGCCCCTGTCCTCAGGGATGTGGTTTCTCTTTGCACGACAGCGACCAGCACGATGCCTGCCCTGTCTGCCTGGGGATCGTCCACGCTAGGAGAGCGTTGACGGAGCCCGAAGCTTGTGCGTTTTGTCGCCAGCTCCGACGCTCGACCCTGGAAAGACGGGTGACGTTTGTGGAAAGAGTGCTGGGACGCTCGGCTGTCGCACGGCATGACCCTCTTCTTTCCGAGTCTGGAGCCCCGGCTTCGTCCGAGTCCGAAGACGAAAATTTTCAGGTCGATGTCCCCGCGATTAGCTGGGCTGACCACATGGAATACGTTGACGGGTTAGCCGATGACGGACCGGAACCATGCAGGAGCGCTGACGGGCTTCAGCCTGGGTTGAAGCCCGCCAGCGCTCCCCAGGAAGACGATGACGTGCTGGACATCGGCCTGGACATCCATGGTTTGTCGGAGGATGAGCAGGAGAGCTCATTGTCGACCCAATATGCCGCCGCTGCTGCGCCGGTCGGCCACGATGACACCTCTCTTTTCTCCCTGTTTCGCCGTGCCGCTGAGAAGCTGCAGGTGGACTGGCCCTCTCCTCCACCAGCTCGGAAGCCGTCGCGGTTTGCGGGTTTTTTCCTTCCACCGGAGCCCGCAACGGCCAAAAACTGCCTCCCCATGTTCCCAGACTTTCTCTGCGAGCTAACAGCGTCATGGGACAAACCTCTGTCTACCCGCGTCACTGTGCCCGGCTATGGACAGTACATGGAATTGGACGGCGCCGAGGGAGCTGGTTTAGCTAACCCACCCCCTATGGAGCCGTCTCTGGCTGCTTATCTGGCCCCGTCCCATAACCATGGTGTCGGTGGCCCCGCAACTCTGCCGTCCAAGCACTGCAGATTCTCGGCCTCGCAGCTGGAGAAGATTTATCGGGCTCAGGCCGGCACCGCTCGAGCCATGAGCTCCGTCACCATGCTCCAGACGTACCAAGCAATGTGCCTGGCGGAGCTTGGATCGCTGGTTCCGGAGGACAGCCCGCTGTCACCTCTTCTTAACGAGGTTAGAGTCACCACGGATTACATCCTCTGTGCGTCTCGCTGTGCAGCGCTCTCCCTGGGCAGAGGGATGGCTTCGACAGTGGTGGCGCAGAGGCACCTGTGGCTGACCCTCTCCGACGTCCCTGATAGAGACAGAGCTGTGTATCTGGACGCACCAGTGTCTGCGGCTGGGTTATTCGGACATTCACTTGAAGCCATTCAGGCTAGATTTGATCTGAGGAAGAAGCAGACGGAAGCTCTGCGCGACATCATCCCCAGACGCCAGCCCCAGCCCAAGCCCACTGCTAGCTCTCACAGGCCCGCCGCTCCTCTGACAGCTGGCAAGAGACCGGCGCCCACTGCTGGAGTGGGAGGGCCGCCGGCGAGAGCACGTACTCCGGCCCGAGCTCCACGCCAGTCGGCCTGGGGCAAAGGCCCTCCCCCGGGCCCCCGACGGGACCCGACGCCCAGGAGGAAGAAGCCTCAGCCCTCCTAGCTGTGATTGCGAGTGGGGAAGGGATCCGGCAGCAGGGAGACGCTGCTCTTACCCCTCTGTTGCCGCACAAGAGGTGCCGCTTAAGTTCTGTTCAGGTTGTCAGCCCCAGAAGGCGCTGCACTTCCCTATCGCGGTCTCCCAAGCACATAACCCCTGCACACGGTTCAGATGTGTTGAATGTTCAAGCGACCACATCGAGTGTTCCCGCTGTTTTTCATTGTTATGCCCCGGAAAAGGTGCACCCAACAAAATGTATAAATGTACATGTTCCCATGTTGCAATCAATAAAGAGTGTGGTTTACTCTCAAACAATCTCAAATGCTCAACCTGCAGGCGAAATGAGCCAGGTCAGGCAGGGGATGCAGTCCCCTGCAGACACACTGGGGGGCGACGGCGCCCCGCCGTCAGTGCTGCAGGCCAGCCGGCTGGCTGCTCACTTCCCTCAGTGGCGCGCTTGCGCCCCCTCTCCGTGGGTGCTGCAAACCGTTGCCATGGGTTACCGGTTGCAGTTCCGGGTCAAGCCGCCTCGTTTCCAAAGAGTCGTGAACACGATTGTCAACCCCGAGGCAGCCTTGGTACTCAGAGAGGAAATACAGGCGCTATTACAGAAGAGAGCAATACGGGTGGTCCCCGCTTCGGAGACGGACAAAGGTTGGTACAGCCGTTATTTTGTCATTCCGAAGAAAGGGGGAGGGCTTCGTCCCATCCTCGACCTGCGAGTCTTGAACACGTACCTGCGAACGTACAGGTTCAAGATGCTAACACTCAGACAGCTCCTGAGTGCAGTCGGCCCGGGAGATTGGTTTGCGACAATCGATCTAACAGATGCTTATTTTCATGTAGCTATACACCCGAAACACAGGCAGTTTCTGAGGTTTGCATTCGAGGGCGTAGCCTACGAATACCTAGTGCTGCCGTTCGGGCTGTCGCTCGCTCCCCGCACCTTTACGAAATGTGCCGAGGCAGCGCTAGCGCCCCTCAGGAAGAGGGGCATCCGCATCTTGGCCTACCTGGACGACTGGGCTCTCGTGGCTTGCTCCAGAGAACAGGCGGAGACGCAGCTGTCGCGGGTTCTGTCACACATTCAGACACTGGGGTTCTCTGTGAACTTTCAGAAGAGCTCGCTAATCCCAGGTCAACAGATCGCTTTTCTCGGTCTGGAAATATGCTCTCTTTCCAGCCGCGCACGGTTGTCAGAGCACAGAGTGGCCGCGTTTCATCGCTGCCTCGCTCAATTTCAGCTGGGACGCAGACTGCGTTTCCAGACGATATTGCGCTTGTTGGGCATGATGGCATCTATGATCGCCGTAGTGCCGCTTGGGCTGTTGAAAATGAGAGCGTTTCAACGCTGGACTCTCTCTCACCGTTTGTGTGCTTCGCGTCACCTCCGGAGGAGGCTGCCGGTAACTGCGTCTTGCATGCTAGCTCTCCGTCCTTGGAGGGAGCCCGGGCTACTGCACCAGGGCTCTCGGATTGGGAGGGTGTTGTTTCGCAAGGTGGTGTCCACAGATGCTTCCCTAAGTGGGTGGGGAGCGCTGTGCGAGGGTGCGTCAGTGAGAGGGATCTGGTCCGCGGCTCAGCGCCAGCTGCACATCAACCACTTAGAGCTGTTAGCAGTGTTCTTAGCTCTAAAGCGTTTCCGTCCAGTCCTGCAGGGCCAGCATGTCTTAGTCAGGACGGACAATTCAACAGTGGTGTCTTATATAAACAGGCAGGGAGGAACACGCTCTCTTCCCCTGTTGCAGCTGTCTCGCTCTCTGCTGTTATGGTGCAGTGTTCATTTTCTGACTCTAAGAGCCACCCATGTCCCGGGCCACCTGAACCTGGGGCCGGACCTTCTCTCCAGGGGGGTCCTCTGGTGAGAGAATGGAGGTTACACCCTTCAATAGTGGCTCAGATTTGGGATCTATTTGGCGAGGCGCAAATAGATCTTTTTGCTTCCAGGGTGAATGCTCACTGCCCCCTGTACTTCTCCATAATCGACCACGATGCACCCTTGGGCTTGGACGCGCTAGCGCACCAATGGCCGGACGTGCTCCTGTATGCATTTCCCCCAGTGGAAATGATAGCTCCAATTCTGGAGAGGGTGCGTCGGCATTCCCTCTCTCTGATCCTGGTGGCCCCTTGGTGGCCCGCGAAGTCGTGGTATGCAGAAATAATCAGCCTGCTTGCAGCAAGTCCTTGGCAGCTTCCTCTCCGCAGGGATCTCCTCTCTCAGGCGGGGGGGGAAGTGTTTCATCCGCGCCCGGATCTGTGGCACCTTCATGCTTACCTGCTGAGAGGTTAAACTTGGTTGCTAAGGGTCTGCCACCTAGTGTGGTAGCGACGATTCAGAGCGCCAGGGCCTCGTCTACTAGAGGCTTGTACGCTTACAAATGGCGAGCCTTCGAGCGATGGTGCCAGGGCCGCCACACTCTCCCATTTCAGTGCTCTATTGTGGATGTTTTGACATTCCTGCAGGAGCTGTTGGATAAAGGCCTTTCGTTTTCGACGATCAAGGTTTATTTAGCGGCTATATCTGCTTGTCATATCGGTTTTGACGGGGTGACACCAGGTGCGCATCCCCTCGCCGTGCGTTTTCTGAAAGGGGTTCGCCGGCTGAGGCCCGTGCTTAAGTCCAGTGTCCCTGCTTGGGACTTGTCTTTGGTGCTGGAGGCCCTTTGTGGCCCTCCGTTTGAACCCGTTGAGTCGGTAGATATGAAACTTCTTTCGTATAAGACCGCATTACTTCTCGCTTTGGCCTCGGCGAAGCGAGTGGGGGACCTTCATGCGCTGTCTGTGCATCCTGCCTGCACACAGTTTTCTCCTGATGGCCGCAAGGTCGTATTGCGTCCGAATGCCGCCTATCTTCCCAAGGTCATGCCTGCATCTTATAGTTCGATGGAGTTTGAGTTGCTGAGCTTTTGCTCCCCTCCTTTTGAATCTGAGGAGCAGAGGAGGGTGCATTCTCTTTGTCCGGTGCGTGCGCTACGCACCTACATTGAGCGCACTCGGGATGTGCGTTTGTGTGACCAGTTGTTTGTCTGCTTCGCTAATCCGAATAGAGGTAGAGCTCTGTCCAGACAGAGGCTGTCCCACTGGATTGTAGAAGCTATCTCGCTGGCATACAGCACCGGAGGTTTTGCGTTGCCCCACGGGGTGGGAGCTCATTCCACCAGGGGGATGGCGACCTCATGGGCTCTTTTTAGAGGGGTGCCTGTGGCTGATATTTGTGCAGCGGCTAATTGGGCGTCGCCGCACACTTTTGTGCGGTTTTATCGGTTGGACGTTACAGCCCCTTCGGTGGCTCATGCTGTCCTTTCTGCTGGGTCTACCACTCACTGAGGATGTGGTGGTCCCATTCCGGTTCGGTGGCTGCTCTGCGGGGCGTGTATATAGGTCCCATACTTATGTGTTGTACCGAGTGAATCGACTGAAAGGGAACGAATAGTTATGTCTATAACTTCTGTTCCCTGAAGGAGAGGAACGAGGTACAACACAGGGTGGCCCCACTGAGCAGTTGGCTCGGTGAAGAGCGGCTATCGAACTGAGGGATGACGGTGATGGCAGCGGCTATATGTGCGGGCGGGGCCTTGCGCGTGTCATCACACGTCATCTGCCGTAAAGGCGTGAATAAAGGTTTCTTCAGCCAGGACACGCGAGGGCGTGATATCCCATACTTATGTGTTGTACCTCGTTCCTCTCCTTCAGGGAACAGAAGTTATAGACATAACTATTCGTTTTCATACGCACATGGCCGATTGTTGAGTGAAACAGATGAACCAGAATTGGTTTGTAAAAATGGTGCAACTTCAGTGATGTGGAACTGGTTTGGTGTTTGTCCGTCAGATACACAACAAAGCACATTTTTTTGCAGAACATGCAAGCGGCCGTTGTTATTGTCATATTTGTCGGACTAAGACGCTCTTTAATCTGGGAGTAATCTGGGTCCTAAACTCCGTATTCTTCAGGTCAAACAACACTGCAGCATCACTTAGAGTTAAAAACTGTCTAAATTCTTTCATCTTTAATAAAACGATCAGCATTGCTGCTTTACCAGGTGTAACTATAAAGTTTAACTTCCAGGCATCCATGAAAACAAAAGTTATTACATTTAACGGAGTTAGAAGTTAGCAGGAAGCTAGCGGAAGTTAGCTCGCTAGTTTCGCTAGTTACCTAAGCATGATATAGCATGTTCTGACGGAGAGATTTCTGAAAAAAATCAAACGTACAGCTCTGCTATCACGTCCAACATAAATGAAGACAGAAAACTAAACAGCAGTGACGTTTGTAGGGTTACTGAAGTTTGGCTAGCTGGTATATAATGATGTGCTACTTGATCGCTAGCGACACAGCTATGTTAGCATAACATAAACAGTGAAGCTGGAGGACGAACACTAACACTTTTCCACTTATAAAAGTTAACGTGAAGGTTCTTGATGGTTAGAGACAAATGCAATCGCATGGCAGGATACTGTAAACGGACCAAACTTCAGTCAGGAGAACAACTGAGATAATCCATCCACAATACGAGGTTAGTCATTAATATACTGCAACAACATGGGAATAGAGCAGCTGCCAGAGAATTCAACATTAATGAATCAATGGTACAGAAGTGGAGGAAGCAAGAAGAATGAGTTTAATAAAGTTTGATTTATCTGACTGCTTTGTTTCGCTTAATGTGCCTTATAATCCCGTGCACCTTATGGTGCGAAAAATACGTACTGCACACTGCAGTTTAATGTTGCAAAGCACCTCTTTTTAACTTCAGTGGATATTATACATGGTTATGCTCAGGATATGTCAGCCCATTTCTACTGGAAATGCCTTTTGGTTAAACTTTCAGCAAGGAATTTGCATTTGCACTGTTACATTTTTATAAAGCTTTAATGTACATAAAAACCAGCTTCTTGTTTACGTGAAAATAAATGGAAGGTTGTCTTTTTGCGCTAGTAATGTTGTGGAGTTGTATTTTGTCTCGCATCAATTATATCATCAGTTATATCGTTATCGCAAATTTTCAAATATATATCGTGATAAATATTTTTGGCCATATCGCCCTGCTCTAATTGAGAGTGTTAGTTGAGGGTAAAAAAGGTTCTAGGTTTGAACCAGTCTAAAGTTGCTTATCAGGTTAACTGGTAAACCACCAAAAACGATCCGGTGGTTGAAATTCTGTAGTTAATCAGCTGATTTCTAAGATGGAAATTGGCAAACAGAGGGACTAACACACAAACTTCAGTGCTTGTATCACATTTAAAATATTATTTCTGTTATCTCATGCACTACAATGACTGCAGCAATCAGGCAAATACTGAGATAATAAATTATGAAATGGATGAGGCCAGATCTCAATGCATAACTGAAGCTCGATTAGTTATAGCTGTGAGATGAAACATATTTTGAATGAACCAATTTATGTTATTCATTGTCAATCAATGTTAAACCACTTGAGTTTTTTTTAGCGTATTGTGGCTAAGGGATCAGTTGCTTATCCTATCAAGGTAAGAGTGACAGGACAAAAGTGGTAAAGCTGAGTGAGCTGCACAAATACAGTTAATGCAGGTTTAATCAGGTAGATTTATATTTACTCAGTCTATTCATTACATCACTTCTGCTTTCCCAGGCTGTCAAACTCAATTGTGTCGTTGTCACTCTGACCCAATCATTTTCTTCTGAATTATCATTTCACGCTCTCATTCATCAAACCCACCTCCTAAACATTTCAGATCAGAGATCATAACCTAAATCTCCAAATGCTTCATCACCACCACCACCAGCATCTGACTCCAGGGGAGGGTTTGGGTCTACTTCCTACCATTGTTGGACTTTGCTGTCAAACTCTCTACTTTAATAGATTTAATTCAGGTCTTTCAAACAATTGCTTCTTAGTGAAATGTGTTTATTTGAAAACAGTATGATGATGCATTCGCCATCTGCTTCTAGAAGCAGTTTACCTCAACCTCAGGTATGATCATGTCATCACGTTACATTCTAGGTGCAATTCTTAGGCTTCAAGGTGAGAAACAACAAATGGATTACAGTGTTTGTGGTCATTAGCTGTATGCAATTGAATCAAAAGTGGGATCTCTTCTCAAATCTGTTTTTCTTCAGTGTTTTACAAAAGCTTTAACCATCCAGCGTTTTCTAAGAAGAAGCTAAAACATTTTTCTTCTGTCAGGAGTCTTAATCATATCACAACATTTTTCTGGAAACTTCCACCCTTAAGCCTGCACTCCCTGCCTTAGAGGACAAGTTTAATAGTGAAGCTTTAGGTTTTACACCCACACCCACCTTGAGTGAGATCCAGTGTCACTCAGGCTGTAGGTGCTGCTGTCTCTAACAAGGAGGTGAGTAGGTGGACTTCGACCTGTTCCATCCATGCTTCTCTCTCCTGGAGGGCCAGGGGACTCGGCAGCAGCAGGCGACCTCTCAAGCATCCTGCGGCCTCCCTCGGTTGGACTGTGCCATGGGGACGCTGACCTCTCCCTGCTGTCTCTGCCTCCACTGGGAGCCAGCAGCGAGGTGGTGCTGCCGTGGTGAGAGTGGGGGTGGGCGTGGTGAGAGGCTCCAAAAGAGCCGCTGTCGATGCCGCTGTCGGCCGAGGCGCCCTGGAGGTAACCACCTCCTCCCAGGCCATTGGGTTCTGGGTCACCCTGGTCACCACTGGAGCCCCCACCAGTCCCCATATCATACCATTTGTCGCTGTCGCTGTGGCCCCCACTGGAAGTAGTGCTGGAGAGTGTGTTACTACTGGAGTGACCAGAGTAAGGGCCATCTGACTGCATAACGACAGATAATAGGGATGAGTACAGGGAAAACGATAAAATATTCTGGTTATACAAAAAAGCCTAAATGTTCATGTTACATCACCATCATGTCAAAAACCATGTAAAGCCTGACCTGGCTGCCCTTCTTCGGGGACAGGTGGATGACTTGCTCTTGCCTCTGGATACGAGGAGCTCCCGAGTATCCTTGACCAGACTTCGAGACTGGCGCCTCTGCAATAAATAGACCATTACACACAGCTGGGGTTGGTGACAAACACATGAGAGCACACCCTGTGGCACAAACATCGTTGATGAATACACACAGAAGTTATGTTCATTTGCATATATTTTACTACTACAGCAGTTGCGCTTCCGAGAGGTTCACACGGATTTTATTTTGCTTTTGCCATGTCCATGAACAAAAACCCACATCACTTGTCAGCAAAAGCCAAGCACATCAAACACAAATTTGTCCCCAGATGGTCCCTGCTGGCTTTGTTTGTTCTGGGCAAGCTGTGCCGCGTGAGAAAACGTGTGTATGTGTCCCGAAGCAAAACTTGGGGTATAATTGGGACTATTGTATAATCCTGTGGATGTTATGCAACAAGACCTACAGAGAAGGCTGCTAATGACCACAGCATCATGACAGAGGGAGTAAAGAGAGATATCATAACATCTGCTGGAATGAATCTAGAAATGTAGATTCAGTCGCACAAAAATCTGCAAAGTTGCACCACAGCCCACGGGGCTCTCCACTAATAAAGGATGTAAGCACGTGTGCATGCCTGCTTTTCAGGAGTGCACGTGTTTATATATAAGCATATGTGGGTATTTGTGTATTGTTTACTTTCTGAAGAGTTACCCTTTTAAGCTAAATGAAAAGTCATGACAAATGGAAATTTCTCCATGAATTAACCATGTAATTACTCTAGCTTCAAAAGGGCTTTCCACCAAAGGGTAAGCATATGTCCTGTTTGTGTGTGTGCATAACAAAAAAAAGTATGTATTCTGCCCGCTGCGTGACTCGTGTTATTTCTGGACATAACATGACCACATAATCGTTGCTGAAGACTGGCAGGTCAAAGGGTGAAAATGGAAGGAAGAGGAAAAGGACAGATCTCTAAACCACAGAGAGAGCAGACTGTACAGTGCAGGGCCAGACACTTGGCTGACTCTGGCTGCACTGGACCAGTTTACATTGTTCCACCCTGACCAGTAACGACATAAGTGCTATGAACAACCACAAAATGAAAGACTAAAGCCTTTAACTGTGATTGTGGCGGTCAGGAACAGGTTGAGAACATGACTGAAACTAGGCTGGTCAACAATCAACGAAAGCAACATCCTGCTGGGAATCAAAGGAGCAGCGGGGGTGGGGGTGGGGGTGGGGGGGGGGGGGGGGGGGGGGGTGGGTTGGAAGCCTTTGTGGGATTCGGAGCTTTAGTAAAGGAAAGGTCCCAAAAACAGTGCATGGGAGAATACTTTCAATTAAATGAGAGGGAATGTACAACATAATAAAAAGAAGTTTGAATGAGAGGCAAAAACAAGCAGCAGTGGAGAATGAGGAACAGACTGAAGGGAGGGAGGGAAGGAAAGGCGCACAGTGACTAGGGTGGCCAACTGTGTTGACAGGAAAGAAAGGAATTTCTCCCTTTTCTCTTCTTATTAAGTCGTATAGAACAGAAAGGAAAATGACAAACAAAAAGCCACTTATTGCACCCAATGTCACCGTTTGAACACCTTTCTGATCCCTATTCAATAATTCTCCCCTTCCTTCGCCATTTGTCTCATTACGTTTCCACCATTTTGTTTGCAGAGACATTAAGACCTTCTCAGTGAAGGCAATATAATTCACAGCTTGCAGAGGCGAAGGAGGTGGAAGAGGAGTGGAGTGTGGGGGGAGTGGAAGGGAAGCGCTGTGGCTGCTGTCAGAGTTTTTATCTCTATGAAAAAGCTGCTGCTGCAAAGAAGAAGAAAAAATGTCACCGGCAGACGAGGTAGATGAGGAGGCGCACACACACAAACACCACTCACACACTCTTCAAGATACCTGTCATTTCAAAGAAATTTACCACCACAGATAAATATGGATGATTTCTTTCCAGTGCTGTCTCCTCCTCCGCCCTCAAAACTGAAAAGCCAACTGCCCTGATGTCTATAAAAACACGTCCACAGGCTCACATTTATGCTGCGTTTTATGTTTACACTACTGATAGTATTAAAATACGCCACAATTTGCCAAGACTTTACAGCGCACTTAATCCCAACATACCTGTTGACCCGCGTTCGGCTCCTCCCCCTTCATCCATCCTGGACCAACTGGAAGAGGACTTTCCACCTGACCCACTCTCTCCAGCCACCTCTCGTCTCTCCCCAGACATCGGAGAGTGGCGATTGCTTGCAAATCTAGGAAACGAGTGCACATGCACCAAATTAAACCCCCCTTTTTAAAGTTACTTAACTGTGTTTTTACTGATTAAAAAGGAATGATAGAAAAACAGAGTTTGAAACAGAATACATTTTCCTACAGGCTGCGGTGGTGGCGGTGGCGGTGGTGGTGGTGGGTGGGGTGGTGGTGGGGGGGGTGGGGGGGGGGGGGGGGGGCTGTCGAGAGCATTAACAGAGACAAAGACCTAAATGCTAGCATCTCACTCTCCTACAGTACGGTTGTAAAAAGATTGTACTTCAAGCCAACTTTTTTGTATATAGCAAAAAATATATACACACATATATAAAAAATTCAAATAATTTATGTCACAACGATGCATAAATACATAAATCAGCTTCTTAAATGTAAATGCGTCTTAAACGTCTGTTTAAAACGGTATATCAACCTGTTGCTTTTTGTTGGTTTAAGACATATTTTATGACATCTACAGAAGAGAAGCGATAAATACCTGACCATATGTCAGAGTACACAGAGCGCAGTGGACTTTCTATCATTGATGAATGAAATCACAAATCCCTAAAGGCAGCATAAAACTTTGTAGTGAGAAGAAACTGGGGGTTTTTGTACATAAAATATGCAGTCACTATCCATAAATCGCATCCATAACCACATATTCTTCCTTACTGCTCAGGCATGGACTTCTGTCTCCAGTGAGCAGAGCTCCCAGAGGCGTCGATGGAACAGGACAGGTTGCTGGGAGAGCTGCGGTTATGAGGGGAACGGCCTAGCGCCAAAGATGAGGCCAGGCTATAGCTCTCACTGCCTGGAGACATCCTGGTGTAGGACAGAGAAACAGTAAGAATTTATCCGCTCATGAAAACATGAAGGTTTTTGTTTTTTTAAGCCAAAAGACTATAAAAGTTCAATTTTCAAAGTTCAGGAAAATTTCGATGGATTTTTATTTTGTCCCAAACAATCAATATGGGGGGGAAAAAAGTCTACTTCTGAAGCGCAGAAGCGCTCATTATACGTAAAAATGTTTTATTTTCAGCAAAGGTTAAAAAATAAATAAATAAATAAAACCTATTACCCAGGAAAATATGGACTGTAATACAACTGATCAGTTAAACAGCTGGAGGATTCTGGCTTTCGCAGCACATATTTTCCAGTTTGCTCTCTCTTTAGCAAACCTTTCCCAGTCTCCTTCAACATAATACGGTTTTTCAATCATACATACTTAAAGAGCCAACAAGCTCTAACCTCTTGGTGTCTAGAGGTCGTCCATCGCTGCTAACGCTCCGCGGGATGACACCACCCCTCTCCAGCCTCTCGGCTGACAGCGTCTTTCCCACTGAGCTACCGAGGCTGATGGCTCGGTTGGGTGTGTGGGGCTGTGGCGAGGCAGTCAGAGATTGCTGAGGGCTGCTTGATGTCCTCTGCCACTTGTTATTGTTGCTGCGGAAGGGGAATTTGTACTCAAAGGAACCGCTGTCGCTGCTGCTGCCCTTGTACTCTGACACAGGCACCCGATAGAGCTCTGAACAGCCCCTGTGGAGGGAAAGAAAAGAAGTTTAGTTCACATGTGTCTGTGTGGAAGAAGGGCTTGCATATTGCATAACCCATATTGAAAAGGGTTGGCATAACATTCAGGACTTCAGGACTTAGGACAACAATATTGGTCACCTCTGGCTCCAAAGACACAAAATTTGAGGGCCAAAACACCAAACTCAAGGTTTCAAGTTTGGACACAAACCAACATGTGACATCAAAGTGGCTACATGCAACTTCTATGAAAAGTCTATGACACACACATAATTTTCTTTCTTTTCCACTTACCTGCGTGGAGTGGCGTCATCATGTGGCGGGATGATAACAACGCGCACTGTCACCGAAGTCCGCAAGAGGTCAATCATCTGCTCGTGGGTCAGAGTTGCAACAGCAACCTTGCAGATTTCCACCAAACGACTTCCCTGCCGCAGTCCTGCCTGCCAAGCGTAGCCGTATGGCTCCACCTAAAAATAAAGTTACAAAAAGTAAAAATGCCAGAATATTTTCTTCATCTTCAGTAATCCCTGATTTTGACCTCCTGCAGGGGAATCTTTGCAGATCCTTTGATATTGTTGCCCGCATTTATGCCTGTGTGCTCATGTCTCAGTGTTTTATATGCAGCCTTAGCTGACAGAAAAGAAAAATAGAATGCTGGGATTTTTTTCCTTTTGTGGGTACCCACTTTTTTTCTCTCTCTCTTGCACACTCCCTCATATCCATCCCAATAGTTTCAGCAATCTCATTCCAGGAAATTGCTGTTATTTCTGAATCATTATATTGATGCTATGATTATGAGGTGATGATTGCTATTATTTCACTCATAAAACAAAAACTGCATCGGAGAAGTAAGCAGAAATGCACAAGAGGAATCGATGATGCTGAACAGGCCAGTCACAGTAGTTGTGGGCTGTATCAATTCCATGTGTAGTTAGATTTTTGGGGAGGTGCACGTCGGGTTACACAGTATATTACAGCGTATATATCACGCTAAAGAATTTATTTTTTAAATAAAGCATAAAAACTGAACAACTTGGTGTTTCATACTGCTGGACAAGCACATCTGTGTGCATTAAACTATTAAATTATACAACATCGCTTTGGTAAAATACTCATTGTCACTAAAAATAAAGGTGTATTTGAATCTCAAGTTGTCTGAGAAAGGAAATGTGTGCAAACATCTGTTGCATGACAACAACAAGTTGCTATGTTGGGATGCAAATCATCTCCCTGGGGCTGCTTCATCACCAGCAAACATTTTACGCCTACAAATTAGGAGCTTCTCAAACCGCGCATAAGCAAGTGTTCTCCCCGAATGCGCTTCACAGTTCTCAGACACACATTTTCATTGTGAATGGACAAGTACCTCAGCTACGATGCCTTCGTAGTTCACGTGGAAGCCGAGCTGTCCCAGGCCATTTCGACGAAGCGTCATCTCTGATGTCTCACAGCCTTTAGTCAGGAACTGGATATAGAGAAGGGCAGAGAGGTGCACAAAGTGGATGTGAGCCATTAAAGGACAGGAACGACTGGAGGACAGAAGCTAAAGCAAAGAACCAAACATCCCCCAGGGTGTATTTTGGTTCAACATAAATAAGTCATTATTTGGAAAAAGCTTTGCAGGATATTTGAAATACTCGAATAATGGACTTCCACTTAAGAAGCAGTTTTAAACAACCTGCGTGATCCTTAGGATGTTTATTTGCATGAATAAAAACAAGCATTCATATATACAAACTTGTTAAACAACAAGAATAAAAGCAGGTTTGTCTCCTGCTGTATGAGAACAACTGGGTAAACTTCTGGGTCACTGTTTTCATTTGGCGGTGAAGAACTAAAATCAGTTACGGAAAAGTGAAAATACAAGAGTTTGGATCCCATAATACTCTAAAGGTCAACTAATAAGTTGATAAAATATGTGGTAATACTAATCCTTATTCCCAACAAACTTATCCTGTTGTGGTCAGTCACAGCCCTTCTGTTGATGTGCCTGGTGGCTTCAGGGTGCCTCTCAGTTCTCTATCTGAACAGCGTATTAGGAAAAATCTCTGCAGAAGTCAAACTTCCCAAGAAAGTGTGAATAAATCATGATGCAGACTGGCACCTGACAGGAATTGTTATTTTGCCCTCTGATGTTTCTGAACGTGTGTGTGGGAGAGGAAGCGAGCACAAGAAAAAAAAAAAAAAGGGGGGGGGAGAAGGAAAAATAGAAAACAAGAAGAAGAAAAAATAGGGGGATAGGAGAAAGAGAGAGGGAGACAAAGAGAGGGAGAGTAGAAGAGATTGGCTCCAAAAAGCAGCTGGCCCGAGGCCACTTCCCTTCCACGGTCTGGCACTGAGGTAGTCCAAGCGATTGAAGATTAAAGACAGATGCATAAAATGCAACATGTGATCAGCTTCTGAGTCCCGAGCCAAGTAACGAAGTGCAAGTGTTCAAATATGTTTGTATGCATGTGTGCAAATGAAAGATGTCAAATTCAACCCAGGCTACAGAAACACATCACATATGTTCGCATGCAAACACACACACACAGTTTTAAGGCAGATAGAGTCTGAGGAAATGAATGTATTCTAAAGCATTGATGATTACATAAGAAAACACCTTTTTTCCTCCGACCAGTTTCCATGGAAACAGCTAAGGACGAACTAGCATCACTTCACTGTATGTGTAGGTGTATGAGCCATTAAGGAGTATTTGTCCAGTGGTGTTTCTGAAACTCCCTCAATAAGCAGAGACCAGTAATGAGACAGCAGCATGTGGATGCAGAAATGTTGTCATTCTGGCAGACTGACAGCCGACACTGAATAGTAAGCGAGACTGTGAGTGGGCCAGGTAACTGATCAATGGCAGCCAGCGGCGTTTTTTCCATTGGTTGGGTTTCTCAGTACAGTTCTACTATTAATATGAATAAATAATTCTGCCATCTTCAGAACTTCCAACAAACACAAAGAGCGTGGTTAACATTGCAAGCATGAGCGGTGTCCAAAAGGGACACAACAATATTTGTCTTGACGTTCGAAAAACAAATCGCAGTTTATCTTGGCGCATAAACCAATTAACCTAATTTAATTTAGAATACGTAGCTCTTGGGCATGAGAGCAGAGGGCAGAAGACGGAAAAAATTGTTAATGGATGACTCATTGTGAAAGGGTAACAAACAAATACTTGTTCATTACCACTGAGAGGAAGGTTGAAAACCTAATTATATTTTCAGCTATCATTTATAATAATAATGATGTCGGCTTCCTTCTTGGCCAGGTCACTCATGAAAATAAAAGTTATTTTTAATTTCAATAAAATCCAGAACACAGACTGCAACTCCCTCCATCGACTGTTGTTTATACCAACAAGCACCATTCTTATGTGTATTGTATTTTGTGTGTGTTCTAACCTCTAGACGTTTGACCACCTCTTTGAAGTCTTCTGTATTATTACTGATACTCCTCAGAGACACGCTTTCACCCCGCTCGTAGAAAATCTTCAAAGACGCGGGGCTGCTAAGCGTCCAGCCAATCACATCCTTAGTGGCACAGTTAAACACCACAGCCTTGGCCTCCTGGTCCAACAGGATTAAAAAGTCGTTGGAAATGGCCAGCAGGGCCTCCATTTCTCCTCCACTCCCATGATCCTCAGCATGGACTGGCCAAGTCACCGCCCCAAGACTGCGCAGCTCTGCTCCTTCATATGGCCGGGTCTTCTCTTTCTTTTTGTGGGCAAGCGAGATGAAAGGGAACTTCCCAGAGGGGTCAATCGGGGTGTTGGTGGTGTGCCGCTCAGCCAGGTCGCGCAGATACTCCTGCCGCGTTCGGGTGGCCATGGCTCGGAACTTGTGTGATTTGTGGGCAGCATTTTCCGCATTGATGACCTTGGCCAGCAGGAAGTCCCGGAACACCGATGACTTGGGGAACGTCACACCCTCTGGGATAGGGGGGCCGAAAGAGGGTACGTCTTTGGAGCGGGTGACGGCCACACTACAACGGACAGGAAGAGACCAGGCAGAGAAATTAAAAGAAAGAAGAGAAATAAAAATGGGAGAAGAAAAGAACAGATAAAAAAAATAAAAAATAAAACTCCAGGCCAAGAACTGGGCCAATTTAGAGTCTGTGTTTTATTCAGACATCAGATTATTTTACTTTAAATGAAAACAATATGTCCCATGAAAAGCTTGAACTCTTTGCCATTTTAGACTAGTCAGATTTAAAAGCAACAAACTGCAACAAAGCTATCTCTCTTTCATTTGTTGTTGTGATGTTGAAATGGAGAAGTTTAGAGTAAAGCTATAAAAGCAGAAATGTATAATTTCTTTATTCCTTTTGTTTAGTTTCTTATTATTGATACACTTTAGTGTCCTTACAGGCCATTTTAAAATGATTTTTATAGTTTTTATAGAATTTTGTGACTTCTTATCGGGTTGTCGAGTCACCTGTGAAATACTGAATGCCTCTAACCTGCATGAAAGGTGTAAATAAAACCTCATTTCAATCAAGGAGCTGTGTGATTGCGTTTTTTCCCTACACCTCCCCCCCCCTCCTTCCTTCCTCCTTTCATTATTAAGTCCCTGGAATGGCCATCTGAGGATACTTGCTCTCTCTGGTATGTCAGGAACTCAGCTGAGCAGCCATGAAAAGCAAGGAAAGATGGGGAGGATGAGGGGAGACTGCTATTTTAAATCTGCTGTCCAAAGCCACAGAAAACACAGTGTGAGACACAAAAGGAATATGTGGCTAAGAAAGGAAGAAAAGAAGTCTGTGCAGGGGAAACATCAGGAAATTATTGCATACTGGCGAAAGTTTTAAAAAACTATTTTTAAAATGTCTGAGAGTGAAACAGTTCTCTAAACAGTCTACAGAGCTCTGTGGCTGCACGCTGGCCACCTGTCCTCGTCTCAACCTCTTCATAACCAAATGTGCTCAATCACAGGTGATAATTGCCAGCTGACAAGAGTAGCTGTAGAAATGGGAGCTCTCATCCCACACACACTTCCCCGCTGACATGCGTCAACATACATGCTGACACCAGGATTAATAGCTTTGTCTAATTAGCGATACCTGTGCCACCCACATCTTTCTAAACATACCTCAGAGGCACCCTATCTTCATGGGTGACATGGGGTGTTCAATTAACCTAACCATCATATCGTTGACACCTCATCTCCCATGTTTGCAACATGGAAAGGTGGGCCCTGAGGTAAGAGAAGAAGCATTGTTTTCTAGACAGAATTGCCTTTGAGAATGAACACAAGCTATTATTGTGCAAGGCTGGCAAGTGCATCCTGGGAATACTCACAGGAATTCCAGTGCCATTTTTCTACAAATAGGGACGGGGCCTTTATCTGCCTCAAGTTCAGAAGAGAAAAGTCCCTCGTATGAGAAAGAGGGAATTAGAAATAATTAAATGTTACTACTTAATTCAACATATTTTAGCAGACATATCATCTGTGCCAAAAAGGAGATCACCATCAGCGCATCAACCCAGCATGCCCACGTTGTCACAGCTTCTCTAATCTAACTTGAAGGTCAACCACACCCTGCCCATCAACAGAGAGCATGTTTTTAATTCAATACAGGTATTGATAAAAACAAAAAACAAAAAACCCAGAGTAAATAAAAATGTCTCCATTTCCTTCCTGCCATTTGTGCTGAAATCAACAAGGAGAAGGAAAGCAGGTAGCGTGTACATGCGTAGGTGTCAGGGCATGCAAACGTGTTAACATCAAAGACCCTTCTGCTGTTAGCGGTTTAGCAGTTTTCACTCTTTTAACTGTGTATATTTTCAATATGGCCCTTACAATGGAGGGAAAATTACATCACACTGTTAGTTCACAGCTTGACTTGTTTAACATGATCACAGGATTTTTTTCCACATTTATTTAAAAAAAACAAACAAAAAAAAACAAAAAACAAAAAACGAATAAATGGCTCTGACTAAAGACATAATTCCCCTGTAATTAAACGGAATTTAAATTATTTTATTTGAAATTACAATATTTATATATTTACCTACAACTACTTTGAAGGTAGGCAGATTAGAAAAAGGGGTTAATGAGCAAAATAATTATACTCTAAGCAAATAAAATGTTGCGTTAATAATTTCTTTTGAGTAATGTTTAATTTCATGGTAATGTTGAAAATGTGTTGTAATTTTTGGAGCGCACGTATTATGGAGTGGATTAATATTGCTTTTTTCACATCTTTATTTAATATTCATTATGTCAATAAGTATGTTGGATATTCTATTATTCAAGCTTTATTTTTATTTTACCAACATAAATGTGATAAGAAATGTTATCCCCTTTACCAACTTAAAAATAAATAAATGCCATTAAAATCTGCAAACCTGTGTGACCTTATAATGACAGCACCCTTTAAAAATCACTGTTTTAAACTGTTCAAACAAGTGCACAGTGTCTCTTTCCCTGTAAAATACCTGGAAGTTAGGGAAAGTTTAGCCACTACTGTCCACAGCACACACTCCAAAAAGTACAGTGCACTTGCAATGTAAGCTGGGAAAATACTATTCATTTTGCCACAAAGTTACCAAGAAATTACATAGTTACTTACTTATGGACTTTCATGAAATTACCTACAAAATAATTTATGTGTCCTTTCCTGCAATATGCCGAAGGTTATTAAATAAACTTAGTTACATGTAAATACTTACATTTATTTACAGACAACTTAAATTAATTTAAAGTATAATACGACTTGTTACCTCCCATTCTACTGTGTACACCTTTAAGTATTTGTAGGTAAATTTAACTACATGTAATTTGAAATAAAATTCCATTAATTTAAATTTAATTAATTTAAGTTCTTTTTAAAATAACATCTTAAAAAAATATATATTGTGTCCAGTTAAAATTAGAAGTCTTCCTAATTCTGATGTCTCTCTATTGAAGGATTAAAATAAACATAAAGTGAAGCAGTAAAGAGTTTAAGATATAAAGTGGCATTACATGAAAGTATTTTGCCCTGTAGCATCCTTATTAAAACCGTTACTAGCATATAATCCAACTCTGAAAAAAATAATAACATCAAATCTGATGAGAGACTGGCAGCAGCATAGCTCTATTAGCCAGGGCTTCTGTCGATAACAAATGAACCATGCCGGGTATTTGAGAGTGGGGTAGCTAAAGTGATTATACGATGGGAGAACAAATGGTTACAATAAAATGTGACCTTTTATTCTTATTCTTCTCCATCACTACAGCATCACTCAATGCATTATATTGGAGCTCTAAAAGCACTTGTACTGATCTCAAACACCTGTGAGTCAGTCAACCAAAGACCTGTGACTCATGCAGGACAGAGGAAAGTGATGGCGAGAGGTAGGTAGAGGTATGAAAGCAAGAGGAAAAGACTGAAAGAGCATTAAGAAATAATGAATGTGGAGGGGGGGGGAATAAGGAGAAGGAACGAGAAAAGCAAGTGAGGAAGACAGAGAGGAAAAGGAGTGTTGGGGAATTGCTGCACTGTGAGGCTGCTATGTGATCTCTATGGCAGGAGGTTTGGTAAAAGAAATGAAAGAGCACATTCCTGTGGCTTTCACTGATTTGTGGTCTTATAAATATCCAATGTGTGGGCAGTTCTGCTCTTCCAGTATCTATGACCTGCTGCCCACTGAGCCAGGCCAAGAAAAAGAACATGTCAATACCTGATGGAGTGCGAGATTGTGAGAGTGTGGATATGGGGAAGGTATACATTATGTTTTTGTCTACTTTAGGCAACTAATATTCAAAGCAAGGACTATTTTTGTTATCTAAAAGTTTTGAGGTTTTGTTTATGTAGTGACTTTTTAGCTAAGAGCCATGCAAAGAGTTTAAAAGAATTCAAATTTGTGGGGATAAAACCTTTTTGAGAAATTCTAACCGTTTTATGCGTTTTATGAAAACCTTTTTTCGCATTCCAAAGCCATTACATCACAATGTGATTGGTCAGCTGCAATTTCCAACAGTCCAGGATGGCAACATTATGCTGACGCAAGAACAACATTGTTAAGGTGCAGATGAATTTACCATTGAAGAGGAAATAAGTAACCACACTAGTAGTTTCCAAATGGAGTGCTGAGACATATCGAAGAGCCATTCAGGCAGCTCCTGCATGTGCGACATATCAAAGTTTACGCTCGACTGTGAGGATGAAAACAAAAGCTGCGAGTTGTGGAATGAATCATTTTATTGTGTCGATCATAACACAACTACGGACCACCACCTAAAGACGAGAGGAAACAATATCTAACAGGAAACTATCTGATGGCTGCCAGCCTCATGGCTCCAGCTGTGGCATGAATGTCAACAGCCTCAGTGAGCGTGCAACATCTGTCAGGAGAAGATGATGCACTTGAGAAACTGTGCCTTCTTCAAAGGGTGAATCAAAATGCGCCGTTACAAACATTCAGTCCGCTCATTGGACAGATGTGTCTGGGGCGGGAGCAACAAAAGTAAATACAGGAAGAAGGTGTTTTGTTCTGGACTATTGGAGAACACGAGCAGTCACCCATCCATGCTGACTGTTACACATCTATAGTAACTTACCGCATCCCAGAATGCAAAGCATACGTGGCTACGGGAAGTTTTTAGCTCAAACTCGCAACGTCAGATCACGTTCAAACTGTGGTGTGAAAACAAGTATCAGGATTTCTGTTATGTGCACACATAATACTGGTCAAGCCCCATCAGTTATGTGCCTTAAGTCTTATTCCTTAGAAGCAAGATATTAAAAAAAACGAGGGGTGATTCAAGATTTTTGCACTGTACTGTAAATACACTTGTGCCCACTTGACCTTAAGCCATGTAGGAAAGAGACCATTTTTCACACCTTTAAAATAAACTGTTACTCGAGCACTTAAGTATCGCACTTCTCCAGTGAGGACGCATCATTTCTCTGCAGCTGTATTTTACAGAGGCTTTCAGCCTTGAAGACATCTGTAGATTTCTGCATTATTTTTTTTCACAGAGTGAACTCAAATTACCTAATTTCTTGATTACAGTGAAAATGCCAGTAGAATCCTTTAAAGGAAATCCTCCATCAGTTTTCAGTTACGCGTACAGTATCGCTTTCGGCAGCACTCTAATGCCTTTAGCTCATACACTAGGTCTTATAACAAACTCAGTTTGGGTTGCAGCCATCAAAATATCATTATTTGAGAGTAGCCTATTTTGTATTAACACGCAATTACATTTAACTGTACAAGATACTAGCAGCATTAGAGCAGTGAACAGAAAACACATCCTGGTTTACATTAAATGGGGTTACACACTATTTTATTGTACTTTGCTCTATTCATATCAAACAAAAGAAATTGTTTTTTTACACTTCCACTAAGAGCAGACATTGAGCGAGCAGAATAGTTATGTTTTGATCTCTAAATGCTTGAAAGCAGGTGCAAGGCCAGGTGAACCCAGAATTTTCCCACTTTCAAAATGACAAATTGAACAGAACAGTGAAGTAGTTCAATACCAAGTGTGTATGCCCCCGTCTTCATAAACCTTAAGAAAACAAACCAAAGCTTCAAAGCATTTAGGTCACCTTTGCTTAATATCTTATGACTCAGTCAATTTCCTGTGGTGACTATGAATCATAATTTATTTTTGAAAGCTGATGTTTCACCTTTATATGGTGTGCAGAAAACTCCTTTACACTTCAAAAAACTTAACTTGCGTTTGTGAGTCGCATAAGGCACATGTCAATAGTACTTGCTCTTCTTCTATTCAATTCATTATTGGCTGCTTTGTGTTTGTGTATGTGTGGTGCTGTTGTTTAGTAGTGAAGTAGCCCCATGGGGGACAATTAAGTCCTCACACAATGTGCTCTGACAGCAATTAAAACAGCCATTAGTGGAAGAGGGAGGCAGAGTCCTAGAGAGCAAGATAAAAGAGAATGACAGAAAACGAGATAAAAAGACAGAGCCAGGAATGAGCTAAATGAAATGCCCTTCAAATCTGAACAGCGCTGAACACGAAAGACTGCAAAGGCAGAATATAAATAATTACTTAAAAGTTATTTCAGACTTGTACATTGTATTTAATATTACACCCTCTCACAGCGGGGAAATAAATCGCGAGTCGTAGAGAGGGCTCTCAACACTCTCGGCCTACTCCATGATGAAACTGCAAAGGCAACGAGAGCCGTACAACAATCTGAGCAGAAGGATGAGAGCATTATTGTTTTTGCTGTGATGAAAAGTGAATCATAAATCACATGCAAGTCCTCAAATGCAGTATTTTTCCAGACATTTTGAAAAAGCAGGTAAAGCACTGGCCTTAGATAACCTCTAATGTAATGAAAAGACATAGAAGGGAATGTTCCAACTGACCTCTACAGCCCTTATTTTTTAGTTCAGTGTGTAGTTTTTCAACTCACCTTCCTTAACTATCACATTTTGACACTGTATTACTTTGAATAATGCCAGTCTGGACGTAACCTCTCCAGGTTCAAGTAGACTGATTCTCTTTGACTTGACCAAGTCTACATTACAGCATCAAACCGGTTATTTTTGCACTGTTTAGGCTTCAAATGGGGCACAGGTTGAAAAGTAGTATGCAGCATTTTATTTACACGCAGTTTATTCTGGTGTACTCTTGAATCTCACCTGTAGGAGGTGTTTTCGGAGCAAGGGTTATGCGCTCGCACAATCACAAAGACGTGCTGAAAGTGTGAGCGGATGTTTTTAGGAGTGAAGGGGAGCGCCCCGGGTTCCTGGAACACAATCGTGACGATATCATTCCCAATATGTCGCTTCCGCAGCAACTGGAAAACATTTTCAAAGAGAGAAGCTAAAGTTAAAACATAATTAAGTAGACATCTAGAGGAAAAAACAACAACACTTGAGCCACTGCTGTTTCGGCCTTTAAGGGTCGCCACAGTGAATTATCTGCCTCTATCTGACACCATCCTCTAGCATCCTCCTCTGTCTTACCAAACCTCTGCATGTCCTCCTTGACTACATCTATATACACAAAGAACAGGATCATGTTAACTCTAAAAATGTGCATAGCATGGATTACTACTTTCTCTAATGAAAAGCCACAACTTGCTGGTGGATCCAAAGGTATTTTAGTGTATCCAAGCTCTGAGCCCTGTAAATTAACATACCTGTTGCTTATTGTTGGGTGTGTATGGCAGCATGGTGGATACGTGGAACATGATCTCATAATCCTTGTAAGTAGTATACAACGAGTGGGTGCCAGTTGAGTCAGCTGAGAAGGAGAAAACTGCACGTAAATGTCTCATACTTCAGGAAAATACACCATGACAGGTTTGTTCAAGTACCCTAAAACTTTCTTCCCGCATGCTTGTCTCTACTATATGCCGTTCAGACGGCCCTAAAACACGCTCACTTCTTTACAGTCAGGGAGCCACTGCACTACCTCACTAGGCTGTTGATGTTTTCCATTTAGAGAGCCAAACAGTCACAAGGTATTTAAAGGCCGTACTTAAACAGCTACATTACCTCAATTAATTACATGCATTCATTAAGGAGGGCGTTGCATGGCTGTATTTAATTTGCTAGAGGCTACACATCCTGCAAAAATTGATTGGGGCAGTTTTTGTCTCACAGGGTATTGGGCAATGGCTTAGTTCATGCAGGGATAATATGGATAACATAATATCATACACAGGCTTGGAAATGTCACAGAGGTAGCAAAAATAAAGTGGACATCAATTCTGTTTGGAACAAACACAGGTGGTCTGGCAAAGGAGAAGGGCACAACCACAGAGGATCAATATCAGTGTCCAAAAGAAAATACAGTAATCTGAAACTAAAGGCCATCTGTCAAATGTCTGAAGAAACATCTGAGGAAACTTAAGAATCGGTGAACGAAGACAAGGAAGTGAGGGGGATTTAATGGGACTGGAGTTGAAAACGGGGGGAACAGGATCAGAAATTTTTAAAACATGTATTCCATCTGCTCATAATTAAATGTTTTGAAAACTGCAAGAAATTTAGGTGCCAAAGGCAAGGAAATTAAATCAAGTTAAATGCTATAATAACTTACAACCTCAACAATTAATTTCACTTCTTACATTACATACCTTCATCCTAATAAAAAGTGTAATAAACATTTTATAAGGAAACAATGTATTTAGTACTAGTGCAGTACCAGTCCTTTAACATGTGAATGAGATCTAATGTGATTATCACAATGCAAGTTGAGGCACTGAACCCATGTGTGTATACACATAATCTAAAAGACTCTGACGACCCCCTGCATGCTCCAATCCATCAAATACTTGCTGGGCAACTGAACTCAGCACTTTTTGATCAATGTGAATGTCTATTTCGTGCGTGCCAATTTACTAATTTACTACCTGCTGTGCTGGATTAGACAGGATCAATGTCAGCGTAAGATCAAATATAAAGGTTCCCTCACACCCTCACTGGCACTTCGCAGTTTTTTGCAAATGTACATACTCTTTGTGTCCAGCTGAGCTCGATACTTGGTGAAGCCTTTAAGACGAACCCTCTCGCCCAGCAGATGGAGGAACTCCTCTAGTGCAGGCCCAGCCGCTTCGTTGTTGTACATCTCCTCTTCGCTACTCTGACCCGCCATGCAGTACATCACCCCCACCTTTCGCTGAAAGCTCAGCTGCGGAGAGAACAAACATTATTCCAATGAAAAGGGGAGAAACAAATGGAGATTACTGTGTGGAAGTCATGTCAGAGTAACCATGTTGACATTTGAGGCAGGACTCATGTTGACATTTTAAGAATAACCGTGGGTTGTTCTGTAGTGATTTTGTGCCATTTTCCTAAGAAATCATGTTGACATTTTCAGAGGATTCAGCTTCTGATAACTGTATCAGCTTTTGAGTGTATGTATATATGTATATATATATATATATATATATATATATATATATGTATATATAATTTTTTTAAGGGTTATGTTGTGTGTGCATGCATCGACACAGCATGCATATAAACAGTTTCTTCAGATAAATTCCACATAACGGTCTTTGGGAGTAAATAAAGAGATACAGCAAAAATAAATAAAAAGAATTTAGTTCAACAATGATACATCCCCTTCACAGAAAAACACCCACACACTAAAAAAATTCATGAAATGCCAAATGACAATCGTTTGCTTTGCATAGTCAATAGTACAGGTTACCAGCTGCAAAAGTTCTTTGGCTCAAAGACCGATCGAATGCATGCACGAAAGGATCGCACTCTATTCAGCGGATGCCATGTCTGCATGACACTGTCTTTTCACTAAATGGAAAGCAGTAATCAAATGTGCTCAAAGGAATTAATCAAGCAGATTCATCCGGCCCATCATAACCCACAATCAAACCTCAAGACGTGCTCGCTGCATCTCCTTACCCCCTGCTCGTCCAGCTTCATCAGCTGCTCAGTGACCTTGGGTGTGTTGAGTGCCAGGCGTAAGCAGTGAACATTGAGCTCAGGCACGAGGTACTCCAGCACTTCTTTGAGGGGCAGGCCTCGACCTAGACCATGCTTGGACGTCGAAGGTACAGCATCTTCCAGGATGGAACCGCGCAGAGTATTCAGCTGGAGACCACCCATAATGCAGGAAAAGAACAACAAAAACACAATTGCAGGGGTCAAAGCCATTATGATTTTCACTTAAAAGAACAACAACAACAACACCAAAAAAAAAAAAAAAAAAAAAAAAAAAAAAAAACCCTAATACTCCATCCATCAATCTTCTTCCACTTATCCAGTTCACGGTTGTTGGAGCCTATTCTAGCCGATCAATGTCAGTATCGAATCAAACCATCAAAAATATCAAGATTTCCATTTTAACTTACTTAAAAAGGAAAAATGGAGTTTAACATGGTTCTAATACGGCGCACGAAACTCACAGAAGCATGAGTTTATAGCTGTTGCTAATTTCTAACCCTTGCTTTTAAATTCAATTACATAAAAGCACAATGCACTATAAATAGAAAACTACAATATGGCACAACCATTTGTTAATATTTAAGAAAGAAACAAGCTTTATTGGTCAGACACATGATCACATAGAGTACAACATGCAGTGAAATGTGTCGTGTCCGAGCTGTGAACAGGCTGCAGGCGTAGCCGCACCATTCCAGGGCTTGGTGTTTGGCATGGGGGGGCCTAGCCAGGACCTTTACTGGATACTGGAAGGGAATCGAACTTGCTACTTCCGCTCCAAAGGGGTGTGGTCTTACCGTAACACTATCCAGCTTAACTATTTGGTCACAGTTTTAGCAACCCTTTCACTTCTCCTGCTGATGGTGCAGATTAAATCATTTTCATGCTTTGTGCAGTTTTACACTACTTCCACAGCTAATGGAGATTTGATTGGTCTATCACAGAATATTCAATGATTGAAATGAAATTCACTTTGATTTGGCTAAAACTGAATTGATTTCCACTTATCCCTCAATATGGGAGCATATTAACCTCTTTAGGTATCATATTTAAATATATCAAGTTAAAATGTGAAAGCTTTAATGCGCAGCATTTATGTTAGAAATTAAATGCATAGCGGGAAAATATGTAATATCGAGACACTGTTTGACTGCAATTCTATCTCTGTGCCAAAAGACTGTGCTTTGTGTTTTTCATAGCTCTCCATAACCTGCTCGTCTTGAAGCAGGCAGCACTCAAGCAAGAGATTAAAAAAAAGAAAAAAAGAAGAAGAGTTAAATAAAGAACACCTAGGTTCAAAGAGAAAGCTGATAGTTTTAATCTTTTGCTTATCCAGCCTGTTAATGCAAATAAACTTGCTTCATAGCACACCCGTCAGATCGAGTCCAGATTAGTTACTGGTTAGATAATTCTTCTCTTGGCTCTTCCTTCCTGCTCCACGCAGAGTGTTTGTTCTTTGTAACAGGCAACAAAACAACAACATGACTAGCTATCCAGCCCTCTGTAGAATACTAGTAACTCTATTTTGGGAAAACTGGAAGGAAGCCTGTGATGAGGCCTTAATCTATGCAATTAAATTCAGTTTAGGATCACACATGAAATTAATCTTTTTCCACAAAATCTAAAAACAGATATTTTTTCCCACTCTCTGTTGGTACAGGGAAAGCAAAATGCAGAAAAGTGTCTGGCTAAGGGAGAAAATAAAATAAATAAATAAATAAAATAAATAGAGTGGCGATTTTGCTGCTGTAGCTTTCAGTGTGAATACTAAGGCTTCGGGGTAAAAAAAGCTCAACGAGGACATCCATGAATAAATCAGGAAGACTGTTGAAAGTCCAGAATCTGAATATCTACTATCAACTAACAGCTGTTAGTCAGTAGTGGTCCCATGCCACTTGTGTGTTTTTGCCTTCACGTGGTGTTTGGAAAGTCCAGAATTGCTGCCAGCGCACTCAGTACTAAACAAACCAAAGAAGAAAAGCACTTTAAACTTATCATGGGCAGTATTAAAAGGACAGTCGTCCTCTTTGGTCCCTGGACTTTTGTCTTCAACATTAGTGCAACCCACTCACTCCCACGCAGGCACACAAATATATCTAAACCTGTGAAGCTCCCTGCTCTGAAAATAGCAATTAGAGAAGAGACTGAGAGGCAAGAGAAGGAAAGAAAAATAGAGGAAAACATAGCACAGTAGGTCGTGCGTCATCCCAAGAGATTGCAAGGGCTATTACTCATGGCACGCTTTAATAGAAAAGCAATGCTTTACCTTCTTCACTCAAATACCCCAGGTGCTATTTTAGTGTCGTTGAGCTGCAAAATGGCACAGCTCAGCCCTTCAAAGATGAAGGCTGACAAAGATGGTGGGTGGGTGTTCAGCTCAGCGAATAAGGACGTGCATCTATGGTTCTACTGTGTCTACTGATGGCAACAAGGGCTAGAGGGATTCACGAAAAAGTTGAGAATTTGGACTAAACAAATGGGAGGAAACTATAAAGATCAAATGGGCAGTAATTTAAGGTGGTATCAAGGAGCGGAGGCGGTAGCATCCTGAGCTGTATGCGACAGCCTTGAGCTGAAGCTTTTATAATGTCTCCCCCCAAATGGCTTCATCAATAAGCAGGGAGCAGTTCTTATATGTCAACTCCTACACAGTTTGAACTCATAAAAGCATTTCAGGAAGATCACTCAGGAGAGCATACTAAATACTGACAGATATATTCACATGAACTTTCACAGTGGGAATAGCTAGAAAAGCTACAAGCTTACCCTGGTGAATGAAAACATAATTAAAAAAATAATAATTATATAACAAAATCGTGAACACGTCAGACAGATGGCACACTATTTGTCAGAATGTATGTTACCTCACTCGTTCTGAAAATGACCCTGTAGTTGTACTGCTGTCCATGGTCTTTGTGTTCCTCCAGCTTCTCCCTTCTCAGACTCACCGCCACAGGGCCCAGATTCTCATCTACCCCCAGGTAATTCCAGTGCTCTAAGGGTGAAAAGTATTGGGATTTCAGATGCAGACATAAATTGATGACAGAGGACAGGAGAGATAAAACTACAGAAAGGAAGAAAACCTGAGCAATTATTCCACTATGTGTATTGCAGCTGAGTTATATCAACTATTAAAACTTTACAGAACGTTCGCAACATTACTAATGACTCTTTGCTGGTTCCCAGGTTTTCTCACGTGTAATGCAGAATGAAGTACAACTTCTGCACCTTGTCTAATTAGTGTCTAAAACACTACAAATTGTATTTTTTCTGCCAATACAGTCCACAGCATTTGCTCTAAGACTAGAAACGTTCAGTAAGACAAATTGAAAAGCACCCACTAAAGTTTAAGAACTACAAATCAAAAAAGCCCAAACTATCCAATTTTCTCACCTCTGAGATAAAAGTACTTTCGGTAGTAATAGGCACCAAGGTCAACATGTTCCACAATGTATCGTTTGGACCTGTCGGCATGTTGACTAGGCCCGTCCTTGGAAGCCTCCAACACAGCCACACCTGCATTGGTAAAATGGGTAGTGAGGGTGGCATCCAAAGGGCCTTCTTCTGTACTGCCAGAGGAATTGCTTGAGCTCCCACCGCTTCCTATGCTTCCCTGCTGGAAGATTAATAAAAAGGAAAGGTAAAGCCAGCAAGCTGTAAACCACATCATCATATTTTTATCTTTACATCTTAAATATGCAGAAATCTGAGCGCTTTTCAGTGCGTTTTCAAAATACACATCTGCAGACTGCAGCATCAATATTAAAACAGCAGAACCCGAGAAACCGTTTTATATATTAAAATGCATTGCAATATTTGCATATATCTAAGAAAATATAATGACTACTCAAGCAGACCTACCTGTTTAACAGGAGAAATGTTCCTTTCCCCCTCTCCACCAATCTCATTTCTGAAACAAGGGCAGCTGAGAACCAAATCATTGCTCTTATCATCGCCAGGGTCGGTACCGCCTCCTGTCCCCTCCTTGCTTAGCTCTTCTTGGGAGCCACAAGGTGACCCATACACTCCACTCTGATTAGACGAAAGAGAGGACGAGGCCGAAGCAGAGGCGGCAGCTGCAGCGGAGGCACCAGTAGTGGTGTTTTTGCGTTTGGCTCCAGATTGCCGACTTTGAATCGCCTCATTGAGGTCAAAGAGTAGAGACTGAACATCAAAATGGGCAAATCCCTTTTGGCATGCCCAGGGTTTGGGAGGTGGTCCACTCTCATCCCCTTTCCCACCATCTTCAGCATCCGAGCCAGCCCTTGATGTGTCACCCTCCACCTTTACACTGCGCAGCTTACGGAAGATCGACTCTCCACCTGTTTCTGACTTTGACCTTCTCTTCAAATGCTTCTCTCGTTCCTTTAGCCGACTGGCAGGACTACCTCTGGCTGGACCTAAAGGTCCATCTGGCAGATCCAGAGCAGCCTGTTTTATGGGAGCAACAGTAAGGAGTTCTGTTAGCCTTTCTGGAGCTGGGCTTCGCTGATCCGGGGCCTCAGCGGACTGGTATCCCTTTAGCATATCAAAGAAGCTCTCTCCTGACACACCATGCTTGTCTATAGATGAAGTGCTGCCATATTCCCGGTGCATGGGTGTCCACCCGGAGAACGACCAGCCCTCGTTTCCATCCCCGTCGAGCTCACTGATAGTTATATCACTGTTACTGCGTTGGCGGATGCGTCTCATGCCCTTGCGAGGGGAACCCAGATAGCCATCCGGTGACAGGAAGCGATTGTCCTTTCCCTTGCTTTGCATCTTGCTCTTTAGTGTGTTGTGGATGTTGCGCAGCATGGATGAGTCCTGTGGGCTTATCAGGTGACCCAGCTTGGCTGACAGATTGCTATGGGCTGTGACGGCTGACACCCCCCCTCCTCCACTCCCACCACTCCCTCCTCCACCACCTCCTCCCCCTCTTTCAAGTCTTTCTCTATCTCCACTTCCTGACCCTGAAGAGCTAGTGGTGTTGGTAGAGCTGGGTGAGTCTGTTTCCACAGTGATGTGCCAAACACCCCCTCCTCCCCCATCTTTTCTTGGTGGCCAGTCAGCTACACGAGCCCGAACCCCCATCTTTGGGACACCAGGGTTGGTGCCCGTGGTTGAAGAAGAAGAGATGTGGGCGCTCTCACTGCGAGGTGGTGGTGCCCCTCCATTAGGCAGTCGCAGACGACGAGTGTAGAACTCATCGGTAGCCGACACCGAGCCCCCAACTGAGCGCTCTGTTTGAGAGCGCTTCAGACTGGTCATGACGGAGTCGGGAAATGGTGTTGGGAGATGGGAGGGAAAGGTAAGGATGGGGTGCTAATGAGATTAGATTCGGGTCAACATAACGGCCACTGAGTGAAGTGATTCAAGAGGCTAAGGGACATTTAGTGCTGTGGAAACAGAAAAGGAAAAGTAAACAGGAAAAATTCAATATTTTCTTTAGTAATATAATAGTTATTGTAGACCAATATTTAATAACTATAGTAGTATAGTTATCATAGTTGTTAAAGCTTAAGAACCAATGGAAAAATAGCTGAGTTTGAATTTTACAGGTCAAACACTGAGCCTTCAAAAGGTTTAATTAAAAATTGCAATATACATATTAAATTCAACACTTATCAATAGTTGCATCGCAATACTTGGGACATTAAGAGAAAGTTCACCAAAAAATCGAATTTATATTTTATACAAGGTGCATACAATGGAACTAAATGAGAATTGCCTTACAGCAGCATTGGATTTCTGAAAACATAACCCAAAAAAAAAAAAAAAAAAAAAAAAAAAAAAAAAAAAAAAAAAAAAAGGAGGTCCCAAACAGAGAACTACATAAATTAAAAAAAAAAAAAAATCATTGTAGGAACCCAGAGAGTCCATCTCTTTGGGGGGATTTTGGACACCATTACAGTCATGAAAAGCCTGTCATGTCTGGAGACAATATGCCCAATGGTCAGCTTACACGAAGACAATCTAGAAGGATAAATGGCGCTAATGATTTTAAGCATTAAAAAAAAAAAAAGGGGGGGGGGGGGTATTTTGTACCTCTACAGTAGTGAGTCTTGATGAAGAGAAATTAGTTGATGGCCAACTTTTATTGTTGAAGACTCTTACAAGCAGTCTGCTTAGGAATCAGGTGACAGGGGACTCTTTCTATCTGGAACTCGGCAACTGAGAAGAACAGTAGAGAGAGAGAACAGAAAGCAAAGACAGAAGGAAACCGAAGACAAGTCAGATTACAAGGCAAATTACATTCAGTGCTACATACTCTTTAGTATTACATTTCTTTCAGATACTCTACTGCAGTAGTAAAGAAATAGGAAACTATGGTATTTTTGTGAAATTTTGAGATCCTCATATACAGCATACAGAATATACTCTAGGGTTTAGAGTCTATCCATTTTTACTGCAGTGTCAAAGATTAGATCCCCTGTTATTTAATTAACAGCTACGTGAGAGCCTAGTAATTTTACACATCAAGCCCAGTCTGCTATCTAGTCATAGGGAGTATCTCACAGCCTGTAAAGTTGAGAATGAAGTCTCCTCAGGCTCTTTAGAGTACATTAACCAGCAAAACCCTTTTTCCAAAATTGGAGCTTCTTAGCTTAGACTTTTCAATGTGTTCTAAAACTAGCAGGGTATTCAACAGCAAAAGTCTTTAAAAAAAATGCTATATTTAAAAATATCTTTCCCCCTTTCTCTTTATGCAATTGTGGATGCCCAATATTAACATGACAAATATTAAAAACATTTAAAAAAAAAGCTTAAGCTTCAGCCTGCTCTAAAGTAAACTCCTCTTACTTCAGACAGTTTTTTTTCCTTCTCTTGTATACTCATTATGTTATAGATCAGCAGGATTAATATGGCCATGTCCACCGCAGAGCTCTGGCTCATTGATAGTGGCAGGCAATCAGGACAAAGTTAGGTAAAGTTAGATTGTTTGGCAAAATGAATGAACTTGGGTGCTGGACCAAGTTGCAGTGCAAGGCAAGTAAACAGTTTTTTTTTTAAAATGTGGATCATGCAAAAGTACTCTACTAGACATTAATAGGTTAACAAAATATCTATTAGATAACTAGAGCCACTTAAGTACCTTAAGGATGGAGATTAAAGTAATACAGCAGGAAAAAAAAACCCTCACAGGATGCCACAGTAAGGATGGGCAGCTCATTTAGTCAGTCAAACACAATGTGGCAGTAATTGCTTTACAGCACTATTCACAAGTTTAACAAGGACCAGTATGTGCTCGTCTACTGGTGGGTCCATAATAATGCACCACTTCTCCCTTTCAGACCACATTCTGAATCACCATGGTGATACAGAGTTTTGTACGGTGCATGTTTTAGTAAGTGTGTGTGCGTGTGAGAGAAAGAAGAGTGGGTATTGATCGCTTCACACAGAACTCGCTGTGAGCAGTTTTAACTGGGAAAACCACAACAATAGGTGTAACAGAGTTGTTGAGCGTTTTGAGTGTAATCTTTAATGTAAGTGGAACAAACACTGTGGATCGCTAACATGATTCATGGTTATGTCACAAATTTCTCCATGTCTTTAAAACGGAAACCATCTACGTGGTTCAGCTCCAAGTAGAAATTAAGATCTTTTTAATATCATCTGTAACCTAACTCTGATCTGAAAAAGATCTATGGTGCTTTGGTGTACTACAGAATCTGCTCAGTTTCCCAATGCTCACTGAACACCAAATTCTCTTTCATTTCACTTAAGCATATGTGTGTTTGAGCACAAGTATCTATTTCCCTTACACACATAATGAGGAGCCAAACAGTAAGGGAACATTTTGGATTTCCTAAAGAGGCCTCTCTATTTTCTGCAGATTGTTTTGGGACAAAAAAAAAAGAAAGAAAAAAACAATTCTCAATTGTCTTGTCTCCATTGGTGCATTAGTACAACTGTTTTCAAAGGGGTTACAATGATTTGCAAATCACCGCGTTTTACTTTTATTCATTTTTTCCAGAAACTCATTAGTAGAACAGATATACAATCATCTTGGGTGCTTTATAAACAGTTTCAAATGTCTCAAAACAGAGCGAACTGTGAAACTGAAAGAACATGAATATAGATGAACCTCCTGCGAGCGATTTTCTTCTATGCCAGCAAAAGCTTGTCAAACTTTTTACTTCATTGGAAATATCAAAAATCAGTACGACGCTGGCATACTTTCAACCCACTGTAGACCAACATCGATTGGTTCAACTTTTTCCCCACTCGAGGCTCCTTTAATTAAACTCAAATGAACAGATATTCTCCCATTAACCAAAGCAGAAGAAGGGGCTGAGTAACTGTAAGACTGTTTCCCAATATTCAGACACATTTTGGTCCTATTACAGAATAAACTGGCCATTGCGGCTCTGTTTGCAGTACAGTAATCCCTGCAGTACTTCAATTGTCATTCCAAAATAGGAGATCTCTCGCTTCTGTTGTAGACTGTCTGACTGATAAAGGCCCTTGTGAATGAGGACACTGCTTGCACAATAACACCCAATCCTGAGGCTCATTACAAAAGTATGTGGATACAAGTTGATAACATTACTGACCTTGAAGCTAATCATAACAGGCTTCTTCTACCAAATAAGAACAAATTTCAATTTCTTCTTATCCAAATTAATGCAAACAAGAGAACAAGTGGATGTTCTAATCCACAAGCTGCTTAATTTGCACAAAATCCGCTGGGTTGATATTAGGCTAAAAATATTTTTTATAATTTTCTCATTTATATACAAATCTTGTTGACAACTGTTTTACATGTTCTGTTGTTACACAAAATCTGATTATGAATAGTTCTCCACCACACTCCTGCTTATTTTTGATCATTTCTGCAGAACATATCCTGGGTAAATAGTCCCATTATCCATTTGGCTGTGCAGAGGTAAAAACAAAGCACACATGCTGGTATTTTGAACATATTCAATCATTCAAATCAGCACTGTCACATCAGCTATCACCATCAAAAACAGCACATTTGTTTTTACCTCCCGTTCCACAAAGTCTGCTATGAACCAGTGTCGTCTCCAAGATACTACCACTCAAAAACTGTATCCCGAATAACTAGCTGCAGAGTGCCCTTCACTTATTCCACAGAGGATTGCGTAGTACTTTTAATAAAATAAATAAATAAAATAAAAAAAACGAGTTGGATAGTACGTGGAGAAAAAAAAAAAACAGTGAAAGAGTTTCAGAACTGAGCAAACAGGAAGAGGATTAAACTGTATGCTTGGCTGGAAGACTGGCAATTCAAAATGAATGAATGTGGCGTTGCACGCATCTATGCAGCCACTGAGGACCAATTATACTGACAGATACTCAGTAACCTTTAGCAGTGTCTAAATGAGGTCGATTCCTGAGGTAAATGCGCAGCATCCTTGGCCCAGTGAATGTAATGGCTGCTGATGTTATCTGTTGGCCCAGCTGGCAGGAAACTTATTTCAACAGAGGGACTTATTTACTTCTTACAAATGATAGTGGCTGGGACCCCAAGCACATTATCACACAGTGAAAGCGGATGTGTAATATCATATCAAGCACTTGATTGAAAAGATAAAAATCTAGAGATTTACACGAGAGCAAGTTCAATTCTCTACAGTGGGAATTTTGCACACAAAAAAACGAACCCAAAAATAAAATTGAAAAAAAACAAACAAACATGATTTTTAATTTGACTGTTGTGCATTTGCAGATGTCTTACAGCTTAGTCACTGTAAATTTCCATAGTAGGAATCATTACAATGGCTAGTACTTTGTTGTACATACAGACATATAAATGTGTCGAGACGTACTTGGAAAAATGTAAACTAACTGCAATACTGCAGATTTACTATGTATTATAATAAATCAGATATCATAGGGCGAGAGGCGGGGTACAACCTGGCCATTTTAGAATCACCAATAAACCTAACCCCACTAACTTAATTTCTTTGGACTGAGGAGAGAAGCCGGAGTACCCAGAGAGAACCCGTGCAGAAACGGGGAAAACACACAAAGTCCACACAGAAAAGCCCCAGTCAGATGATGGATTTGAACCCAGGACCTTCTTGCTGTGAGGCAATTTGTTAGCACTGTTAAACAATCATTACCATTTATAAAAGAAATAGTATAACTGGCATTAGCATTGTATAACTGACATCATTACCATTAAAAAAAAAAAAAAAAAAAGCAGGGTTTGTTTTGGCTCAGAATGGCTGTGGGGATGACTATGTACAGAGGTACAATGAGCTAATAACATGGGTTTTTTTTAAAAAGACAAGAAATGATTATAATTCTGTAATTCTGGTGATTTTCCTTTTCCTCTGGCTCAAAACCTCTGAGGCAACAAAACCATGAACAGGGGCGTTGGCTGCTTGTTATCACTGGGTGCACCCTTTAAATATTCCTGTGTTCTGCTACAAGAAAACATTTCTGCTTTAAAGTAACATTCAGAATGTGGAAACCCCTTTGTTGTAACCCATTAATTTATCTTGAATTAAGCAGTCAATGTTTGGCGACTGGCAGTTACGGCCCTTTCCAAGTAAACGCTCCACATCATTCCAATAAAAGTTTCCATGAGGATTTCAACCTGGAGTTAGTGTAATTGTCTGAATAAGTAATCACTTAACAGCGACTTCAGTGTGACCTCATTACCAGTAAGAGATGATATGGTTTGTAATTCCCCCGAACATTTCCTGCAAAGAATTATGTAATGCTCTACCAATTATTGTGGGTACAAACGTCACGTCTAGAACAGATGGTTTGTTGCATTCACTCCCATACATATACACACTTCCTTTTATATGGTGAAGTGGCTGATGAGTGTAGTTTTCTGTCATTCAATAAAAATAAACCAACATGAAACTTCTCATTGAAGTAATACTGCAACTTGAGTTTTGTAATTGGAACACGTCAGCTATGTGTGACATCAGATGAAAACCATTAGACACATTTGTCATTTTTTCAGCGGTGCATGTTAAAAAAAATGGTAATGATCACCACAGCTGATGTGTTCTAACTATAGGATGTAAGTTAAAGTGTTACTACGACTGTCTACACTCAGTGGTAACTTCGCTTCTTACACTCTTAAACTGCTTGTTTTACACAAATATCTAATCAGCCAATCACATGGCACTAACCCAGTGCATTTAGGAACAGTTCGAACCAAGCATCAGAATGAGGAAGAAAGG